ATGTTGAATACTTAGAGTTCTCACTCTTATAAGTATTGACTTTTAAGAATATTTTGGTAAGATGTATATTTGATGTTTTGTCCAAAAACCACAGAATGAATTGTATTTTTCATTGACTGCCAGTGGAGGACGTTTTTGTCAGCGAACATTTCATTGGGAACGATTAATTGAAGAACAGTTATGTCAATACCTCGTAATTATTCTAAAATAAATTACAGAAGTTTAATATTAATTATTGATCTTAATGAACAGAAATATAGCCAGAACAAAGCCCGATGTAATATAAAAATACAGGACTCTTATTTGTTGTCTTTTTAGTTCAGGAAATTAGTTTCTAATAAGAATGTAATTATATAAGGAAATTGTGTAGTAGTAACACCAAGTCTTTATACATTGTTGTACCATTTGTATTCTTGCTTGAGAATGCATTGAGCATCTAGCTGTAGATGGTTAGTAACAATGCAACAACAATTCTACCGAGTCCTGTAGAGCCTTAAATAAACTTGAAGTAATTTGTAATTTCTTAATCGAACATTAATTTATTGAAATGAATTTAAAAGAAATCTCCAAAAAAATACAAAGAATTGTTAAGAAATACCAAAAATAGAATTCTTAATATAACTATAATCAAAACCGTGATTGAATGTTAACCAAACCCTAGGTCAAGCCTTAATTGAAGGCTTAATTGAACCCTAAATAAATTCTATATGAAACTCCAATGAAACCCTAAATCCTAAATAAATTTTAGATAAGTTCTAAACCAAATCCTAAGCAAACCCTAATCCAATCAAACCCTAGACCAAACTCTAAACCAAACTCTAATGAAATCCTAGATCTTAAACAAATTCTTCACAAATTCTATAGCAAAATGGAACTTCTACAACTAATGATTGAACTCTTTATATCAATTCAAAATCTGCACACTTCTTAATGTCTTAGTTAGGAACAAGCACAAGAAAGATGAAATCAATTGCACTTACCAATTGAGAGAAATGCAAGATAATCCAATCACGTGTTGGATAGCCTTCTATTCCAAATTAAATGTTAAACTTCTAGCACCAATATCTTTTTCTTAAATTGTTGAATCGCTCTCAAATTTCATTGTAATGTTGGAAATCAAGTCTAGTATGAATACAAAAATATTTCACTTCAATCAATTTGAGGTATTGGTAAAGATATTAGAAACACTCACTAATCCTCAAACTCCAATTTCTAAGACCTCAACCCACAAAAACCTTCACACACTTTGATCTAATCATTGGATTGACTTCAAAATTTGCATACACATTCATGACTAGCACATCAACACACTTTCCAAAATCCACTTGTATACACATCTTGAAACTCAAGAAACCCTCAAATTTATAAACATATTTTTATTTCTCAAAATCTAAACCAACTAAGAATATCACTAATTTTGAAAATCCCTCAAAAACTCAATATTGATTCAATTAACATAAATTAATGTCAAAAAATCTCTCCTTAAGTCTTCTCTTATATTCCACTCTTCTATCTCCAAAAAAAACTCTAGAGTCACCATAGGTACATGGTTTTGTACCTTAGGGTCTGATTTTGCTCCAAGTTGACAATTAGTCACCCTCTAGTATCAATTCTTGACTTCTTGAGATAAATTTGGCTAAAATCTACTCTCAACTCTCTCCTATACATGCTTATATCATTTAATTTTCCAGTCCACTTTGCTTTGCCTTATTAATGGCCCTACAAAGTAAGTAGAAGCCTATTTTACAAAAGGCAGCATTAGCACTTTTTAATTTTAGTATCTTTTTGACTATTATCTATATTTCTAAGATAATTTGTTATAATATTTTAAAATAAGATCTTCTATAATATAATATTTTTTTCTCTCTTTCATTTATTAGTTGTATTCCATCATGACAACATTTGATAGGATCTATTATTATAACAATAAAAAAAATTATACATTTGATAATATCAATCATCATAACCTATGATCTTATTTGATTAAAGAGTTGGTACTTAAAAGAATTTGGATAGGATAAAATGGTAACTTAGTTACCATAATAATTAAAGTTGCTTCAATTTTGGTTAATAAAAGCTAAGATGATATTTATAGTTAAAATTTAAATTATTTTTATATTATGTGTATAATTAAAAAATATATATTTATTTATATTTTCTAAACATACATATATATATATATATATATATATATATTCAATAAAAAATATTAGTCTATTAGATTTGTACTCAATTAATTATATTTGCATCTAAACAATTGATTTTAACAATCACAAAACTATTATAAATATTTATAATATTCCTTCTTCAATAGTATAATTTTATGTATATATTATTTAATTTTCACAACATGTCTTAACTATCAAATTTTTTACTTTTATAAAATTAAATAATCAATTATTTTATACAAATAAATAACTTGATTTTTTTTCCTTTTTTTCTTTTTTTCTTTGTCACAAGGTCAACATGTATTCAAGAGGTATTTTACATGATAGACAAATCTCATAACCATAAAGACACTAATTTAAATCTAGATCATTGTAGAATATTGTCATGGACATGAACCTCAAAGAATTAAAAAGTTTATACACTCTTGTGTCACTCAAAAAGATTAGAAAATCATTCAAAGATGATATATTATTATATTAGAATGGCTATTGCAAAAGACAAGAAGACTAGAAAATCTTGAAACAAGACAAAGGAATAGAGAGGCATTGATAAGAGTGAAGAAGGCTTCACTCTTGCCTCCATATTTATTCTCTAACTAAGAGCTATGTGGCAATATTTTATAAGATCTTTAACACATATTGACTTTGCTAGACACATGTCTTAGATTGTAATGCAATTTATTTATATGTATGCCATATAGTTAGCTTTTTTGTACAAGTTATTAACACGTGTGACATGTAACTAACTTGTTGACCAAGTTTTTAGGCTACCAGTTAATTATAAATATATATAAAGTCAAAGTAACATCTATGAAGCTTCTAAAAAGCTTCTCTAAGAAGATATTATAAAATAATCTACTTTTGCCTACTTCTATTTAATCATATGAATAATTATTAGAATTGATATATATATCTATAATAATCATATTATTTTCAAACATTACAATTTTCCTTAAATTTTCATTAAATTGTATCACTCAATTGATTACTTAAAGATAATTTTTCTAAGTAAATTCCATCAACCAAATGTAATTCGTGAAGTTCTTATATTTGAAGTAAGTGAAGAATCCAAAAAATAGGTATATCATTCTCTATTTTTTCTGTAAAACAATTTAAAAACTTCAAGAATTTCATTTCATTTCATGGCTAATTTTGATATTATGCATAGTTTAATTCCCATCTTAATTTAGGCCTCTCTCTTTGTGACAAGAAGCTTCTAGAAGATTCATTATAAATTATATTTTCAAAGACAAGTTAGTAGAATATATATTACAAAATTCTTTGAAAAATCTTAATCATTTTCATGAATTTTTTTTTGTAAAGTTTTTTATTTTTTTAGTAAAATAATTTTGCAACTAATAGGAAAGGAGTGAGTGTGTGAGAGTTTGTGTCTCTGACTTCCAATGACTTTGCAGCACAAGGACTAGCCTAGACGACACCACCATCCGTCCAACTGCCTTGCCTTGCCACTCCATGTCATGATGTGCCATGCCATGAGTATTGCATACCATTGCGTGATAGCTTCTTCTAATTGCACATTAGTGCCTTCTTTGTCAGTTGTTTTTTCCTTAGTTTGAAATAAGGCTTCTTTTGGATTCGTTAACACCACTGTTGAGCATGATTAGAAGGTGTCTGAGTCAAGGTGTCAAGCTTAGTTTTGTATTTCATTTTCAATAAGTGTATTACAATGTGGCACACATTGTTAAGATAAATACCAAAAAATTGTTCATTTAATCATTTATGCTTACACATATTCATAAATGCATAACCTTATCATTATTCTATACTTGATATATAAAAAATTTAAAATTTACCTTTGATAATGGCTAAAATGATCCAATTCTAATAATTATAATAAATAATAGTTAATATCTTGAAATAATTAATGTCTTGAAATAATGAATATATACTTCTAACCTGATGTTTCATACTATATGGAGATGCTATGTCTCCATTTAGTATCAAACATGAGGTCAGAAGTGTATGTTCATTATATGACATATCTATGTGATGTTGAATTGTTTAAAATTTTAATATTAAAAAAATTAAGTTTTAAACTTTGTAATTTGTTATTTTTTTAAAATTTTCTGTAGAATCATTCCTTCAAAAGGCAAAAGAATCGCTACAACATGGAATAATAACTATATAATATTAAAACTTGATAGATTTGCACTTTTTTTAAACATGAATCTTGTTTAACAATTACTCAAGTTATTTTTATTTTATTTTTCTGTATTGTGGAGTCTCATTAACAAATGGTACAATTGATGGATTTCCATATTCATATTTATTATTGTTATTATTATTATTTCTAAAGAAAAGTTACATTACCTTTTATAGGTTACCAGCAAGGTCCTCAATTTCTAGGCACTGCATCTAAACAATGTAATGAATATTGAGATTAAAGTATTCTCAAAACATTAGGGCTGTTGCTACAGTAGCTTTGAGAAGCAACATAAATTAACCTTGAAGTGTCATTTTCTATTAAGGCAATGCGCGTACTTGACTGGATCTGATTATAACATTGGAACAAGTTTTTGAAAAATAAGTATATTTGATCGACTAATTTATATCTCAGGCTAGACTATGCATCTCATTAACTCCTCAATTACAAATGTGTTACCGAATTCTCATATTCTTTTTTGATCATACAAAAATATGTACATACATATATAGTTATCTTTTTCACTGCACTCATATATGATGAAACTTCGTGGTCGGAAGCCATAGATGAGGAAATATTCAGCTCAGCATTCATGACTCATTTTTGTTTACAATGCGTATTTAACTAGAGACCGACACTGTAAGTCACAGCATGATGGAACCGATCAATAAGCTGAACATTGTCAATTATGAGCCCTCGGGCTTCAGCAGAAGGGTCAGGCACCATACGATTACGAAAATGGCGGTCAACGCGATCAATTGTCAGTTAATTCACAATAGAGGACGAAAGAATTGGGAATACGAAGACAATTCAGAGTGGCCACATGCAAGACTCCAGGAGGAGCTTTTGATATTAGACTACATCACCACTACCTCCATCGACACAGCACACCTCCGGAGGAACAGGTAGAACCTACAAACAGTACAAGAAATCTTACGACCTCCCCCATCCTCGCATCATCCGTTTCAGTCCGCTTTCGGCCTCTTGAGGTGGCAGTGCTGGAGGTTGAGAAGTTTCAACAGCAGCTAAATCTGCAGCTGTTCGGTTCAAGTACCCTGGGTCCCTTAGGTAACCACCTTCTCCAAACAGGCTTCCTATCGAGCCCCCCATTGCCTTGGTAAGAACCTCCGAGATTCGGATGCCACCTCTATCTCTCAGAATAACTTCCAAAGCCTCCTTATGTGCTGGGTCCAAGGCCTCTACATCTTTCAGTAAATTCTGAATCGTTGGTACTAACACATTGCTGATGCTCGTCGAAGACAAATCTGATTGTGAACAGAGAGATTAGTGCACTACACGGGCAAGTAAACATGCATAGAGACTCCATGACCATTAATAGAGTGTCTGCACTAATGATTATCGGAATCCGAGCCCCAGTCTATCTCTCTCCCTCTGTCTCTCTGTCTATCCAGTCTCTCTCTCTCGCTCCGAAATGCTGCAACTGGTCTGAGTTGCCCTACGTTTCGCAGCTAAGGTAGCGCATAACAGAGAAGTACGCCAACTTCTTTGAAACAATCTTGTGATTTTGACATGAAAAGTAACCCTTGACATGAAAATTTCTCTTCTGATGATAAATGTGACGTCTTAATGTCGACTCCTCCTTCAGAACATACCTTACCAACTACAAATAAATATCACTCTAAATGCAAACTGCGTTAGGTGTCCACACAACACAGACGTAATCGAATTGAATGCAACCTACCGGGGCCGCAGATTCCTTGTACCGACAGTAGATGAACATGGCTACTAAAACTGTAGATCAAATCGAGTTAGAGGCTTACCAGTAGCATCCAATGCACGCACGGCTTCACATATAATATCAGCCCTCTCGCGTCGCCGCGCTAGCTTGGCACTAGGCATTGGTGTCCCCGATAATATGAAGAGCTTGTTCAGCAAATGTGTGAAAAGTTAAGTCCATGATCCGGATTATGTCTATAAAGTTAGGAGAGATATGATGATTAACGATCCTAGAAATATAGCATTCTCCTGATACTATCAATCCAAACCGCGTGTGGGAATAAAATATTTGAGTAAGAACCCTCGGGTGAATGCTGGCACGACTGGAAAAGGATATAATCTCGTAAGGTTGATGCCGTCAGTGGGATTGCCACAGACAGAGCACGAATCACTGCTATTGTTACTTCGTGCGATCCATCCTCGAGAAACGAATCCATTTGCATTTTGACCTTGTCCACGACCTGCACGCGCACAAAAGCTTATTTTACTTCTAGTCACATCCTCGATAACAATGTCATGTTCTAGGTGCGCCGGACCTCAGACTGAATCCAATATCGGAACACTGTAAATCGAAATTATTACTTAGACAACTGACCCCGGTAGTGGTTGACATAACCCTCGATAAACAATAATCCAACACCAAATGTAATTCTTTCATGATCACAAAATAAATAAGCAGCCATCTTTTGCAAACTTTGACTGCATCGAACATAGTCATTGGGCTATATGCTTTCAATAAACTTTACAAAGACGTTCTTTCATCAAATGCATTGCATGGGATAGATTTTCATGTTACTTACCTCATCGTCCTTAAAATGCTGAGCTACGGCGCCAAAAGCATCGATAGTGGCATGCTTAACATCCGCGTTAGGATCTGAACCAAGGGTCACCAAAGCCGGGATAACCTGCTGTGTAGCAGATTTCAACTCTACATTTCCAACCTATGGCCACGTCCCGTCAACATAGTTTAGAACCACGAGCTCATGTAACCTTCACGGACAACATGATAGGCAACAAAAATAAATCCTCGTGATTTCAAAAAACCCAAACGACACCAGTATCCCACTTCACAAAATGTGTGGTCTCCAATTAAATAGAGTAGCTTCTAACCAGCGCTTTGGAGAGTACAGCTGCACTGATTTTCACATCAGCATTAGTATTCACAACAAGCTCCCATAGAACGCCAAGAATAACTGCATGATGCTGCTCAAATGTACTGCATTTCAAAACCCAACGGCATATGCTCGTCAGCCCATCCCATGCAACCAGAATTCGCAAGTGCCGCTTTACATTCCACAATCAACGCTTCTGTGTCTCAACAGCCAAACTGCAACCCAGAAAGCACTATGGAAATAACATTTGTTCCAGCACTTTCAGCGGTGAAAAACCACTGAATCTTGCGCTAACTTTACTATATTCATGTAATGATCAACACAATGTGTACACTAGACTAAAAAGATGCGTACAGAAAGCCGTATTCACAATTGCACTTTCTCCTAACGATTCTCAATAAACGTGTTACTTTTGCAAAATATACAGAATATTGACAGAAAACACTTACCAGAGAAAACGTACAGAATCAATAAGTTCTGAAGTTTTCGTAGGTGTCCAAGCACCAAAGGTGAGGCTAGACCTCAAAATAAGATCTCTCAGGTAGACTGCCAGATCCTCTGGTTCCATACCCGGAGCACCTAACACTCCGGCCAAAAGCAGAGGCAGCACGCACATGGTTGCTAAACGCTCCTCCAATGGTGTCCTTGGTTTGAAACCTGACAAATGCCAGAAAACGTGTACTTTAGGCGAACAGAACCAGCACATTCTCTTCAGTGATATGAAAATTGTTGGATCGAGTCAGCAGAATCGTGCGGCAGCAGAACAGGAAGATATGATTAGAAAGCTGGATGTCGCATGAAATCAAGCCTCGCCCATTAGCCATCAAGACGGCTTCCAAAATGACGCATACAAGTAAGACAAGTAAGGGACGGTAAGAACTTTGTCAGAATGACAACAAAAAACCCAGCATTCACAACCAAAAACCAGAACCAAATCATCAAGACCAGGCAGACTTGACACATGTACCTTTGACACGGTTAGAGAATCTGAACGACATATGTGCATCATCAAAGTCGTCACCATTGGCAGCACGGAAAATCGGGAGCATAACAAGCCGGAGATAATTGACGCCAAAGCAATCATTGATCTTTAGAAGAACCTACATGTCACGGACAAATGTCAGAAGCACCCTTTCACAGAAAATCATAACTGCGGTAACAGTCCGAAAAATGTATACTCCCGATTCTATCTACATGCAAGCAGTAGCCAAGAAACCTGTCTACGAAATCTAAGGCAATCAAAAGCTCAAATACCTTGCAAAGGCGAGTTCGAAGGCTTTCTTCTCGTGGAGGAAGCATGCGAGCAAGCTGGAGAACTGTTTGTAAACAGTCCGTAACTAGCCAATCGAGTGTTGGCCAATCCGTATTGGATCTGAAGCACCGTCACAGCAGTACCAATTACTCCACATCATACAAAGCAATACAGACATCATAGATTGGATAAAAGAGCAGCGAAGTAACACAGATCACTTCAAATAACGTAATGCTTGAAGGACAGACATAAAAGTATATGTGATCTAGAACAGCCGTTCAAGAATAGGAACACATCCTAATTACACCCTACCCACTACTTCTGGAATGAAATAGCATGTAGACCGGACCAATCTCCTGAGGAACAGAAGAACGAGATTAGAGTGACAGCAGATGGTAAGACGGACATGTGCTTACCCAACGTACGATTTGATGACGACTTGCGTGAAGGAAGTAGCGTCCTTCTGTACATCAGATGCGTCAATTGAGAATGGACACGCCTCAACAGCAGCTTCTTGCACCTCTGGCAGTAGCTGAGTAAGCAAGCGAAGTAAGACGTCGATGCTCCACCGTTCTCTCTCTCCCAGAGTCCGAAGCTGTGCCTCCGCAGTACCTTCCACTCCAGACATGGGCGGACACCGCTGCAAGGCCACAATGACGTACTTATAAGCACTGCAAATTTATAACCATACCAAGTATTTGTGAACTAAAACATTCGAACTTCAAAACTCTGACAACTCAGTAAAGCAGATATTTGAAGTCTTAAACAAAGATCACTGACGACAACATGAAAATTAATCTCAAATTCTGTAATTCTCGAAGTAAGGAGTGACATATGACCAGTTCACAACAGCATAATAAATACTGGCAATCACCTGGGCAGCAAGGAGAAGCCTGGAGAGTAGTCCCTTATAAAGTTGAAATGGGGATTGATTTTCACGTTTTCTCCAAGCTAGTAATGCAGGAACAAGCTCTCTCAGGCTGGTATCGACAACCGGACCCATGGGGTCGCAAACCAAATCAAACATTAAATCCTCCACCTGTGCTTGCTCGAAAAAAAGAAAAAGAAAAAGAAAAAATCAGTGTTAATATTCTACACAAGGAGAATCGAATGAAATAAATAAATAAATCAAACTTCAACGACTGCATAGGCTGAAACTACCAGACGTGACGAGTTTACATGCAATATTAATTAAATCAAATCCTTGCTAATACCTATGAGACCTCCAGGCTTATTCACAATCACACTCCAATCCATGCCAGAAGACTTCTGACAGCTTTAGAATCTAACAGGCCTGCTAAGGTCACGCTGCAGACTGAATAACGACTTAATCATTTTAAATTAGGGCGGTGCCTAAGTTTATTAATTCTCAAGCACAGTAGGGTCCACACTAGAAATCTATAGGAACCCAACTACAGTGCTTACTTTGTGCCCCCGGCGAGCCAGGAGGTCAAAATGCAGCTCCGTAGGTTGGCCCCACGGCAAGGCTGACCTTGTAATACTTGTCCATGTCGTTGAAGAGGGGCAAAAGTACGGCCAAATTATGAGATGCAGCTTCCCGCACTACCGATGCTGGATCACTTGCTAACTGCTGTATGATGGATAAGACAAGAGAAGTCCGCATTTCAGATCCCACAAGCTGGCCCAACTCTCCACACGATTGCGCTACCAGAAGTCTTCTTTCCTCATACTTGTGGTCAATCTGTGGACAATTCATCATGCTATCAGGATAAATAGAGAAAAAAATGCGCCCGCGACTAGTCACACTCACAGACCCTAAATAATCCAGAAGAGAACCAACCTTTGGCAGAGCCTCAACTGCAATAATAATACCCATCAGAGGATGTGATTGTGACACATACCTGTTCCCAGCATTGTGGTAGTAACTCAGTCTCGGTCCGCATTTGCCCAACTTTTTTGGATAGCTCTACACATGCCTGAAACATAACAAACTCAGTTTCAATTGCTACTGCAAAAATCGGAGAATAATAGATGTCAAAAAGCATGTTCTCTCAGACATCAGTTTCTTCTACTAAAATGTTATAATTAAAGACACAGGCCGCTACCATACCGCTAGAAAGTAACGAAATTAATGAACAAATAAAAACATGACTGTTTTCAGATGAGTCGGCACAACAACGGCGATACCCACTATCCAAGAAAGTCTTGACTTACATCCATTATGATATGTCGTTGTGCTTCGTCTGGTCGTTTAATCAGATTAAAGAGGAGGTGCGTAAGTGAATCTCGGACAGTGCTCTCCGGATGCCTCTCAATAGCACACATGATGAGAGGCAGTAACTCCTGCGGATGAAAGCGTAACAAAATAACATGAGTACAGCACTGCATGAAGAAATAGGAGACCAAGTAGATATCGATACAAATTTTGAAGGAAGAGAACTATGGGGCATCATAACTTATTATGCACGAATACAAAGTTGTCAGTGTATGGTGAAAGGACAATGAAAGAAACCTCTCTGTGATTAATAAGCACGTAAGGAACTATCTTGGGCAAAGCGTCAGCCAGTATCTGCACGGTTTCAACTTCCTGCTCGATAACGGAGCCACAAAAATTAGCGGTCATACTTTTCACAAAACGAAAACCATGCGTAGCCAAATCCAACCAAAGTCTCATTTGTTACACAAGTCTAAAATGATAAAAGAAGAAACAAACGAACAGGAAACATACTGGGTCGTGTATATCCTTAAGCTCTCTTAAGTTCACATGCTCGTTGTCTGAACGTGTGTCGTCTCTACTGTCATGTCCACCTGATGTCCTGCACCCATTGCTATCTACCAAAGTCGTGCTATTTTCTAAAATAACTTCTAGTATATCTTCTACAAAGCTAAAACCCGCATATGCACGTGTATTTTCAACAGGTGATATCCTCGTTTTTGCAATACCGTTTACACCTTCAGTTCCAGCGTCGGTCTTTGGATTTGCTGTTGCTGCGATTGAAATGGGATCAAGCTGTGCGAGGTTGGACTCTGTCTCTAGGATTGGCAATGCCGCACTTAAATTGGACTCTAACCGTGCAGTTGTTGGCTCTGCAACTGATTGCTGCACATTTTCAACTTTCCTACTCGACATCAACTTATCTAGCTCCAATTTCAATGAAGTAACCTCAGCTCTAGACTCATTTAAAAGCCTGGTTGATTGCTCAAATGATTCCTTCATTTGCTGAGCCTGCCACAAAACAGAAGAAGGTCGATAGACTCTTGTTATATTATACACGCTCACATATGAAGGTTGGTTACAAAGAAACAACCACTATAGCTTTATGATAAAATTGTTGAACAACAATAGGCTTGGAAGTATCACATGCTTAATAAAAATAATATTGCTTCCTAATTTAGGCCGAGCACAAATACTCACCTGCTTCTCCCACTCTCTCTCTCCTTTTCTATGCTGTTCCACTGTTTTGGCCAAGGACAGATTCTCCCTCTCAAAGGCTTCGTTCTGATGAAGAAGAACATCGTTTTCTTTCACAAGCGCCTCTCTATCCTGAAAGAAAGAGAATAACAAAGACACAAAGGCGTCCTTATGCATACGCTTGCATTCCAAATGGCAGAGCCGACTACAAAAGGAAAAGCGCAATAAAAGCATTGCCAACCGCAGGTCATATGCTGGGGAAGTATGTCGACGCACCAGTACCGCTTCGGCCGTGGAACAAACAAATGCGTGATAGTAATGACGAAGAGCATCAGGCACATGTGCAACAGTGTCAGGCCAGTCATCCAAATCAAGGTTCACCTGCATACAAGGTTTTCCTCATTTTCAGCTGGATACAACATGAGAAACTTGAATGGGCTTTTTAATGAACACAATCCAACGATATCAAAAGTTGCATTGCAAATACTATACGACATCGATCTTGAATAAACAGCTGCTCCTGTAATCTTACGAAAACGAAATTCATTTAGTGCCTACATCTAGAACCGGCAAATCTACATGAATTTTCTATGCCATTTCTGCCGTTTCGAACGTCCATGGAAACCTTGACGAGTTGCCGCGTAACAGACCACCAACCATACCGATGATTAAGGCTATTCCCTCTAGTTGGATTCATGCATTGCGACAATATCGTCGTACCACGATATAAAACACTTCATGCGTCAGACATAAACTCATAAGAAGGTGAGTTCTCTGAAAACGAAATACACTAAATTCTGAATTTTCAGTAGTTAAAAGATACCTCCTCTTGGAAAGTCATTGCAGATATCTTGTAGCCAGCAACCATCAGATACTCCTTAACTGCACAATTTATATCTAGCTTCTCTTTTTCACCAAGCTTCCCGAGCACTTTGACGCTCCCGTTGCTAGTCATCGATTTCTCACCATTTGTTGCAGTATCCGTCAAACTAACATCTGCCAGAGAAAAACAACAATTCTATGTCTGAGTTGTTTCGAGCAAGGATTACAGATTCTGTAAGCATACACGACGTGACTCCGGCCAACAAAATATTCAACATTCCGTTTGCTCATGACACTCTTGTAAGGCCGAAAAACACTGCAGTTCATACCAGTAAATGAAAAATCCACTTACCAGGCCTAGAAAGATCTGAAGCAACTTCCACCTGATTTGACAACTTCTCTTGTAAGTTCTTTATGTCCTCCCGAGCAAGGCGTAGTTCATACTCACAAACCGCAGCTTTTTCAGCAGTCAGCTCTTTCTCCTCGGCAAGCTGTACAGCATCAATACCTGAATATACACAGGCCCGAATTTAGGTCAGACGAATGAACCTGCAAACCCTCAAGCACTCGATTTCTCTGAGGAACAACCAAATGCGTCCTCCATGCTGCGCACCAACAATATCCATTGGTACTCTGAGCTGTCTGATCCAGGAACTAAGTTTTTCGCCCCTTCTATATCATTTGCTCGGTGACACTTCACAGGCAAATAGATGTGTAGTACTAGAAATTCTCATTTCATATGATCGTCTGAAATCGTTATAAACAATTGGTTGAAACAAAGGAGACGACCAATTCCTGAATTAAAAAATGAGAATGGATACATGATAATCTGGCGGAAAGAAGATGCACATTTAGGAGAATGAACCAAACTAATTAGGGCGATCAGATCTACGACACTGGCTCGTCATGAGGTAGACAGTGCAGAAAAGTAATGCAGAGATGGCGCACTGTTGATGCAATTTATCCACGTGAGGGAATGTGAACCTCGTTCTTGATACAATCTGCGAACCCGTATCTACAGCTCGGGAGGAATGGAAGAAACATACAAAAAAATAAATTATTTAATTAAATAAAATACCGCGAACTGGCGCGGGGACAGCGAGAAACGCAACGCATGGCAAATCGCATTCCAAACCTTGTAAGGCCTGCATTTTGGCAAGCTCTTCAGGCGGGAACATGTCGGAATTGGCGAAAAACAGCTGCAATTTCGTAGCCGATTCCACGAGGCCGTCCTCCTGAAGCTCGTGGAGAAACTCGAAGGCAGTAAGAAGGTAGTTCTCTTGAAGGAGGAAGTCGATGCACGCCTTGCGACGCATTTCATTGGTGGTGGCGCCATGCTCTCCAGATAAGCGTTCGAATGGAGGCTGCGGGGCCGAAAACGAGCTGCGAGGGGTGGCCATGGCCGCTAGCCACAATAGCCAACATGTAATCAATCTGGTGTTGATTGCTCGATCCTTCGTGTTCCTACTTCCTCTTCCTCTACTCCGACGACGAAGCTCACGCTCTTTCTGTTCCCCTCTCCCACCCGTCCTCTCCACGCTGGGCCGGGTCTGACCCGCTCGGTCCATATCACGGCCCACGGGAACAGCGCTGACGTGTCAGTAATTCATGGGAACGTTGAGGTCGTACCTGAATGCACTTCATATAACGAATGAGGGGGGCATTTCTTGGGAAGAACCAATCTACAATCCCTTCAAAAATCAAAAAAATCAAAAAATAGATGTAAAATATTATTAATGTAAAACCCACAATATATAGACTCCGCGTTTATAATTATAAAGATAACCAAACGTTTGTCTGCAATGATCCTGATATATGATATCTTGATCTCTCTCTAATGGTGATTTCTTTTACTATGATTGTTGTAATCAAACTTGGACGTACACAAGAGTGGTACATATGAATATTATCATAGTTTTCAACATGAATTATTTGCATCGTATTGAATGAAATCACACAAAACACACACACGCACACACACACACACACACAAATATATATATACATAAAATTCTTACCCTTATTTTTATTATTATTGTAATACATACAAAGCAAACATTTAATTCTAAAATGAACATTTGTTGCACTATCAATTGAATGTGAGAAAAATTACTAATCTATTTAAAGAATCAAATTTACATGATAGGTCGGTAAGACAAATTACTATTTCAAGTTTTAAAACATCATCTTGTATGAACTTCTTCAAATATTGAATACACAAACTAAAAAATCTTATAAGTCTTGATGTTGTGTCGAATCTTTGCATTTCAAGGTTTGTTTCACGAAATAGTAACCCCTTCACTCACTCAAAGGAATCCATCCATCCAAAAGTATCGATGAAAGGATGAATGAAAACAGGCCACACTCTGTTTCATCCACGTAGGGTTTCATTTGGTTTTTGTCTGCATTGCCATACCTGCACAACTTTTCCTCGTCGAGGTTTTGGCCGTTACACACGTTTTGAGCTTTCGACACAATGCGCATTGCCCTCCTGTTTTCGTCTATTTGATCGTTTGAAGTAACACGCTTGTTTTCGAGCAGAAGCAAGTTTCGCATCGTTGTTGAGAGAACTGTTCAAACCCTTTGGAGTAGAGAGGTCTCTAGACCCGGAAACATGAGTAAGAGTCTGGGCATCCCGGTGAAATTGCTCCATGAGGCAGAGGGTCACATTGTGACCGTGGAGTTGAAGAGTGGGGAAGTTTATCGCGGATCCTTGATTGAATGCGAGGATAATTGGAACTCACAGCTCGAGTCCATCACCTATACTGCTAAGGTGAATTTTCGACTTAGAGCATTAATACCTTGGAATGCTTGTGTCGGACCTTCTCATACTTCATTGTAGAAGTTAGGGCGCGTTGTGGTTATTTCGTGTAACTTCGTTTATGTGGGTTTAGGGTTTACGTAGTGCAAGAAAATATTGAAGGTCGCTCTAGGGCAATTGTTATATTGAGTTGTCAAACCCTGTATTGCCTGATATATGGGATATGTGATTGGAGCGCTCAGGACTGTTTTCACTTCTGGCGTAGAATTGCGAGAATGCTTATGTTCTCTCTTGTGGTTACCGGATTTAAAATCTCTCTGATATGACATCCCCTCTTTCATCGAAGGTCTCTCGCTTGTCAGTAGTCTTTCAGAGTGTGGAGTTTGGCAATCTACTATTTCTAGTAGAATCTCTCTATGTGAAAAAGAAAAAAAGCCGTTTATTTCTCTATTAAATTACGTTATTTGTAGGTAGTTTCAATGAAAGCACCCCCGGAACGCTGGAACAACTGTGTTAGCCACCCGGTAGCTCAAAAAAATTATTCATCTGTAAATTAGCTGCTGATCACATGGTGCGAGGTTTCATATCTCTTCTAAGTCTCTGTCTTGACTTAAAAATTAGCCTTCATTTCATTTTGGGGGGTATTAGAAGGAGTTCATCAGTCAATTTGCATGCCCGCTCTGTCCTTTCAGTTGTGAAGTGGCCTCGTGTTGACAGGTCTTTGGTTTTCGTGTTTCAGGACGGAAAAGTCTCTCAATTAGAACACGTTTTCATTCGAGGAAGTAAAGTGAGGTGTGTTTTGCTCTTCATCCTGTTCAGAAATTTGGGATTCGAGTTACTAAAATCTAATATTGGCTTTTTAGCTTAATCGTCATTGATATTTTGGGAGCTGGAGCTTCACTTTTGCATTGCTGGATTTCATATTCTGTCTGTTCTTAGAGTCCTAATTTTGATTTTGAATGGATTGTGCTATTCGCTGTTTGTCTGGTTTTTCTGCTATCTGCGCCATCCAGCGGGCGTGAAAGAAAATTCCTTGGAAGGAACTTGGGTACGAACACTTCCTAGTTAGGAAATATCGACTATCGGAATTCATGATTTCGGTAATCTTTGTGTTGCAGATATATGATCATTCCTGATATGCTCAAGAATGCCCCTATGTTTAAGCGCCTGGATGCCAAGATTAAGGTGCAATATTTTCCACCATCCCTCTTTGTTCTGAAGATGTCTCAGACGCTGTTTTCTCACGTATTAAAGTTTGTAGCCTGGGATTCTGAAGCGTTATACCATGGAAGAACAATGGGGACTTTCGTGGGTTTATTAATTAACATAACTGTGTTCAATGTGCAGGGTAAGGGATCGTCAGGTGTTGGGGTTGGTCGTGGTCGAGCATCTACCATGCAGGCAAAGGTTAGTGTGCCCTCCTCTACTTACGTTCATATCACTGTTAGGTGTTCTGAGCTAGTATTAGTTCCAAGCACTGGTTAGCTGGATAGGTGTTCAGTTTGGGTATCTGTTTTTTGGTGTTTCTGTTCTTCTAGTTTGTTTAATTTGGGGGTCATAGTATAGTATGTTGCAGTTATGAGAGCCTCAATCATCTTATTAAGTATGGTGAGATGACAAGTGAAACCAAGCTTGTTTGTTACAGAAAAAGTTGTTAAAGTTCTTGCTTTTGCGTTTTGTCTACAGGCTCGATCAGCCGCCAGAGGCTCCGTACCACCTCCAATGGGGGGTAGAGGAGCTGCACCTCCCATGAGAAGATAAGTGAATGTGACCTGCTTGATTAACACGTCTACCGGTAAAATGGAAGTTTGACACGCAATAACTTCTCAGCCTTTCTTCGTGTTCAACGCTGAGGCGTATGCCTTCTGTATTACAGATCACCGTCTAATCAAAACATGGTTCTTAGTGTAGGCTACTGGATATGCTTCACCAGATCATAACAAACTTCCTATCCATGCTGTGTGGTGACATTTCTTAAGTCTTCATGGTGACCTGCAGGTTTTAGATGAGATTCAGGTTGTACAGCTAGGTTTTGCAGGTGATCAAACTTTTTGAACTGTAATTTCACACGTGGAAATTCGAAAGCTTTACAGTCCCTCCGTAAGTCTGTTTGCTATGCTTTTTTTCACTCTAAGTGATTCATAGACAAAAGTTAAGTTTTAATTTTTAGTTTTTCATAAATCTGTCGGTAACTCCTATGAAGACTAAAAGAAACATGTTGAATACTTAGAGTTCTCACTCTTATAAGTATTGACTTTTAAGAATATTTTGGTAAGATGTATATTTGATGTTTTGTCCAAAAACCACAGAATGAATTGTATTTTTCATTGACTGCCAGTGGAGGACGTTTTTGTCAGCGAACATTTCATTGGGAACGATTAATTGAAGAACAGTTATGTCAATACCTCGTAATTATTCTAAAATAAATTACAGAAGTTTAATATTAATTATTGATCTTAATGAACAGAAATATAGCCAGAACAAAGCCCGATGTAATATAAAAATACAGGACTCTTATTTGTTGTCTTTTTAGTTCAGGAATTTAGTTACTAATAAGAATGTGTTTACAATAGAAAATTGTGCACTAGTGATGTCAATTCCTTTTACTTTTGATACGGTCTACTGTTCTGACAGTAATATTAATTGTACTTTCGATTAGTCATCGTGACCCATGATCTTATTTGATTGATTACTCTGTCAACAAAAGAATATGGATTGGTCAAAATGCTGGCTTAAGTACCATCACAAATTAGGTTGCTTCATTTATGGAATAACAGCCAAGATCATATTTGTAATTAAAATTGAAATTATTTTCACAGTATGTGTGCAACTAAACAAATAAATTGATTAATATATATAAATATCTTTAATTTTTTATTTTAAAATATTAATCTATTAGATTTGTGCTCAAGTAATTATATTTTTATCTACACAAATGATTATAAAAATTGCAAATCTATTATAAACAATTATAATGCTCCATCTTCAATGGTAACTACCCATTCTTTTACTTTTATTAAACTAATTGATTAGTTATTTTACACAGATAAATTACTTGACTTGTTTTTTGTTATTGTTTTGTTTTGTTTTTTATTTGTTCTTTTTTTGTCACAAAGTTGTCATATTCAAGAGGTATTTTGCTTTGCAAAGACAAATCTTATAACCAAAAAGTCACTAATATAAATCTAGGTGCTTGTAGATCATATTGATTTAAACATTGTAATTTTTCTTAAATTTTCATTAAATTTTATCATTCAATTAGGTACTTAAGGATTGTTTTTGTATGTAAACTCTATCAACCAGAGGTAATTCTTGGGGTTTCAATACTGAAGAACAAGAAGAAGCTAGAAGAGTGTTATTTTATTTATTTATTTATTTTTGTAAATCTATGCAAAAGCTTCACCAAATTGATTTTATTTCATGGGTAACATGGGTAACATCCATCATTTAATTCCCATCTCATTTTGGGCCTCTCTCTTTGTAACTAGAAGCTTCTTGAAGTTATATTATAATTTTTGTTTTTAGGGACAAATTTGTACAATATACATTACAAATTTTTGTGACAACCCAAATAATTTTCATGCTACGTTTTTGTAAATTTTCTCTTTTTCTCATGTATTGGAGGATGGTAATTCTCAAAAGAACTTTTGGAAACCTCATTATATTAATATTAATACATATTAGCAATTTTACATGCAATAATTTAGAAAAAAAAATTGGAGTGTATATAATGGCATTGTTAGAAGGATCATCTTATTCATAGAAACTAATATATGAATGTCTATTCAGTAATTTTTTTTGTTTTTCTTCTTTGTTTTATTTATTTAAGTCATATATTTTTATTGTCTTCTTGGTGTAAACATGTTATGTTTTTTTCTTCATCGTGTTCATATGTTTTTTTTGATATAAAGTGATAATTTATTGTCTTTTATGTAAAGTGGTAATTTATTCTCTTTAATATAAAGTTGTAAGTTGTTATATGGAAGATTAATTATTTGTATGGTAGTTTTAAAAAATGGTCAAAGCAATATAAGCTATAACAACGTCAAAGTTATTTTTATATATTTCAATTTTTATAATATATATGCCTTTGTTTTTTCTATTTAATAAAATTTGAATAGATTCTTAATAAATATATTTTTGAAGTGAAATATTATAGACTATTTATATACATGTGTATTTTACATTAAAATGACATTCATTTTTTTAAAATCATATAACTATTTTTAGAACAAGAAATTCAATATTTTTTTGTAATATTGGTGGAAAAAAATCATTGTCAATTTTTGGAAATTATAATAAAAAAAAATATAAATCATAGATGCTTCAAGCTAATCAAGTCCAAAATCAATGCCTCATGTATCATTTTGTGAATAATCTGTATTTAGGAGTGTTTTTACACAACAACAAAAGGACTATTTTACAAAAAAATTACAATGTTTTCAATCATAAGTTTGATATCTTTCTCTTAAATAATCTAGGAAAAATATCATATATATGTATATTCCTCAAATATGCTGAAATATCAAGAATACTCATGTATTCTTCATAATAGCAAATATACCCCTCAAATTGGTAACAATAGCAAATGTATCATTGTTGGTGATAAGATATCACCAACATTTCTTGTTTAGTTATCATATGGGCTTAGGCAGTGGTCTACACAAATTTTGTAATGCCTCTTTTTGATTGATTCCATCAATGCTTCCATAGCTTTTGATCTAATTGTGATTGTTAGGCCAAGTGTAATAATCCTTAGAGTGAAGAAATATAATGTTGCAATTATTAATGTATTGGTTCTTAATAGGGTCTTCAAATATGATGTTAAGGAGCTAGAGATGAAGGCATGAGGCATATTATGTGAGGAGGACAAGTAGTCAAGCATCGAAGAGTTTAAGGCTACCTAGACTTGGAACTAGGTTATACATTTGACATTATCCATATGTCAAGGATAAAAACTCAAAGAAGATACATAAATAAGTCAAAAATGAATCAAAGAGAGATGACAAACTAGAAATAAGAAAGTTAATATATTTAATAAGAAATTGGAATAGCTATTGCTAAAGACTAGAAAACTATAGATTCTTGAAATTAGACTAGAAGCAAGAAAAGAGTTGACAAGAGTGAAGAAGACTTCACTCTTATCTCTACATACACTATCTCTAAAAACTACATGGCAATATTCTATAGGACCTCTGATACATGTCTAATTTGCATGACACATGTCTTAACTTTCAAGGCGAGTATTCTATATGTGTTCCACATCATTCCCTTGTACCATAAGCTACCAATACATGTGACATGTAACTAACTTATTGGCCAAGTTTTTTAAGCTATCAATCGTCTATAGACATATATAATAGTGAAATTGCATCTATAAAGCTTCTAAAAAGCTTATCTACAAGATATTATCAAATTAACCTACTTTTACCTACTTCTACATATTCATATTATCTCGGTAACTACAATTATGTTTGACACATTGTGAAGAACAAGCAAAATGTCTTAGTGAAGAAGGAGCTTGTATTGCAAATATTGAAGAAATTCAAAGGTTCACTTAAAGAGAAGAAGTTTGTAGTGCTAAAGATAATAGAAAGCCACAATTGTAATGATCATTAAATTATCCATTTGATATTTAAATACTATAGATGTCTTCATCCCCTTGAATATTACAATCTAAGTGCTCTAATACTTGTGATTATTGTTATAAAAGATCATAATAGATAATAAGGTCAAAGCGAATAGAGTTTTAGAATTATAAATCAAATTACTCGTTAGGATATTTTAGCAAATTACTTCTAAAGTTGAATAAGTATGCATTTTGGCAGATTTTTGTGTACCATTACCATTGAAAATGCATATGGTATGCACTTGACTTCTAATCTTAAATAAACAACCTTGAACTTTTATCCAAAAATCTCATTTAGATAATTTATCACCCTTGTGTGGCATCACCCTCTTGATTTTTTACCACCCCAAAAATCACAATTATATTTTAAAGCATATGTGCTTGCAAGCAAGTAGATGGTAGTGGTGGTATGTAGATGGTAGTAGTGGCATTCAATTTGAATGATACAAACACAATAGTAGGAAGAACATCATTGTAGCAAGGCAATGTTAAGAATTTGCAATGTGAGGCTTGGTTTGCAAATCAATAGAAGAAAAAAATGTGAGATTTTTCCAATTCTCAAAGAGCAAAAAAGGGGTGTGGCAAAATCTATATGGCCATCAATCTTGGGCCCCAAATGACAACTAAACAAGAAATATTGGTAATATCTTATCATCAACAAGGGTACATTTGCTATTATTACAAATATAAGGGGTATATTTGCTATTATCAAAAATACAAGGGTATTCTTGATATTTTAATATATTTGAGGGATATATATATGATACTTTTTCAATAATCTTAAATAATATAAGTTTAGATTGTTAGAATCAAACATATTAATATATTTGACTAAATTAAGTGTGACTAATGAAACATGAAATTTATTCACTACATGTATAATTTAACATTACAAAGCTTTTGCAAATTTTATTTTTTAATGACCTAACATGTTAATTTAACAGACAGTTTGGTACAATTATTTTTCAAGTCTTTAACTGACAGAACTTAGAAGGTGCACAAAGTAATTTGACTCAATTGTAAATCACAAAAATGCAGGCTTGTATTTTTAATTTCTACACTGTATTTAGATAAAAAAGATTAAAAAGATTAAAAAAAAAAATCCTTTTTCTATTATGCCCCTTTAAACATGGACCAAACTGTGGTTTTCAGTATATTTATATTACAAATCGTTACCTTTTCATCTTTCTAAAAAAAGGTTTCATACCTACGTAGTTCAGTCACAATTAATTTTGACAATTTGCTCTAACCCTATTATTGAATGTACGAAGCAGAAAATCAAGGCATACATATTGTGTGTGTATATATATATATATATATATATCCACAAATCTATACATTCCATTGCAATAAATGCATGAATGCCAACCAAATACACTTAGAAATAGAGTTGTACCAAGCAGAAAAAGAAAATGCACTTTGCAGCGCTATTTATGAATGTTCATTTAATCTTATGTGAGTGTGTAGATATAGACACACATGTTGCCTTGGGTTTCATAGTAATAAAAACATCATGCGGTTCAACTAGATTTGGTGTTTTCTTACAATCTTAGTACATACGTTTATATCTACGTGTACTTAATTAAATTCAATCATGCATAATATTATTTTATATCCAAAATTTGTGTTGCAGTGAAGATTTGATTGACACATACAGATTTGATGATCATTGTTCATTAGTATGAATCATTGCTAGCTTTTGTTTTGCTTTTTTCCTACAGAGAGTATTGATCGATAACTAAGCAAACCTATCAGTGGTTTTATTTTTATTTTTTAATTTTATAAATATTTATTAATGAAGTCTTCTTTTTTCTAGCAAATGCACGGTGTCGAAGGCACAAGGTTTCAAAACATGGTTATCTTTGGAAAAGACAAGTCATATATCAAAACGTGAGAGTCTTTCGATGCTTTTGAGGTTAAACAAAGTTATGTTGTTACAAAGGCAAATCCTTCGGGTGGCCGTTTAGAAAGCACTCTGACAATGTTGGACATGAGAGGGCTTGCTTTAATATCACTGTTATTATAGAAGTTCAACCTAATGTTTCATATGCATACTATTTGATCACCCGTGTTTTTTTTTTTTTTTTTTTTTTTAAATTAAACAATATGTTATATGACCAAGTCCTAATATAAGACCCTAAAGAAAGCAAACCTATCTTTGTTCTCATCATATTATTTCCTTTATATATATATATATATATATATAAATATTCCATGGCTGTAACTGCCTTGCAGACTTTACCAAAACCCTAAACCCGCAATCCGGTGATGTTCAAAGCACAGACTGAACGCATGTTCCAGGGGGAACCGAGGTCTGCGTGACGTAGCCCTAGGAGAAGATTCCGCATGGAATGGATCCGAGCAAGAGTCTCAATTCGCTCTCACTCACCCACTCGTGCGGGTCGTGGAGATAGATCGAACTGGCGTTGCTTCAATCTTGGATGGCGATGCCGCCGAGCCGCATAAGACTTCCAGACGATTCCCACACCACAAAGCCAAAACCAGTTAAGTCAGTCAGTCTGCCATCACCTGCGACACTGGCAACTGGACTCAGTCAGGAGGATCCTATTCCGGGCGTGCGTGTTGTATGCTCTGTCTTGTCGCGCATTTGCTTACCGTCTTTTGTGTTGGTTTGGCCTCATCTTTTATAACGGAAGAGTTTGCGGATTTCAAGTGTCGAATTCGACGGTTGCAAGGTTCGGAAATCCGAATCTGAGATTGGCGTCCGGTGCTGTAGTTGCGGCGCTTACAGATTCAGCTCCGACGCGGTGGAGCGTGTGAACGCAGTGTTGTGTAAAGTCAGGAGAGACTGACGTTCAGCCCCGTCCACTTTTGGTGGTGGTGGCGGCCTATTGAGGAGAGATCATTTTAAGTCTGGCGGGCCTGGAATCGTGTGAGCAGACCGGGAGTAATTAGATCAGCGATGTGTTAGTCGCATTCTCTGTAGCTCTGGAGCTGAAGTTTGCAGCGGAGGTTCATACAGATTTAGTTGTGAGGATGAGAGAGCGTTCTGTGGTTGTGAAGTTGCCGACAAGAATCTAAGAGATGAGAGAAATCGGTGTAAAGAGACAGTGAGAGGTTTATCGTTGGGTTAAACTGGTAGTGCGGACTTTCGCTATCACTGCACTTTGTTACTTTGCTCGATTTCTTTAACGTTGGATTCGATTCATACATCTCGATCAACAAACATGCGCCTCCCCATCCCGGATCGGGTAGAGCAGTACCGCATTTATGTGACTCTTCGAAGAGATCTTGCAGTAGGAATGTTTGCCTACATACAGGAATAATCAGCCTCTTTGAAGTTTGGTTTGTAGTAAAAGGTGATCTGCAAAGAGGTTGGTGTAGATCAGCTCTGAGGGCGTTGAGGGACAGTCTCGCACGTTACTTGTGCCGTGTATTCCCTCCTTTTCTACAGATGCTCAAGTGCTAGGTGTAGGTGAAAATCTTCACGTAGAACTGGAGTTCCTGGCTCAGATCCATGCCTACAGATCTCCTTTCTGACCAAAGAAGAGAGAGAGGTCCGCAGGTGGTGAATTCATTAGCAGTCGGCTGCGCATTGAAGCATCAATTATGGCTGGGATGTTCCTCCAGTGCAAATTTAAACTGCATCGCAAGGGGAAGAGTTCTCTGGAACCTCGAAACTCCGCAATTAGAGGTGGAATTCGAGGACGTTTGTGTGCGCCATGGAGTGAAGCTGACACAGCGTCTGTTGACTCCGAAGATCGGGAGGATGCAGACCTTGTTCACCTCGACGGTGTTTTGTCATTCAACCTTGAAGCATTGATGCGTGCCTCGGCGTATGTGTTGGGTAAGAGTGGAGTGGGGATTGTCTACAAAGCAGTGATGGACGGTGGGATCATTGTAGCTGTTCGAAGGTTGGGCGAGGGTGGCGAGCAGAAATGCAAGGAATTCGAGGATTTAGTGCGCGTAATACACCACATGAAGCACCCACATGTCGTGCGTCTGCATTCATATTATTGGGCTCCCGACGAAAAGTTGCTCATCTATGACTATCTTTCCAATGGTAGCTTGGAGACAGCTCTTCATGGTGAGTTTTACTAGCAGCTTTACCAAAAAATGTGGGCTCATCAAGCTGTTCGAGGCTGTTCTAGGAGTTTGGACTTATGACAGTCGAAGTCAGTAAAGTCTCCTTGGGATGACGGGATAGGGACGTAGAAAATCCGCGGGGACGAGCATTATTGAATCTGTGCACTTTCAACTTATCCTATTTCGCTGATACATCGATGGTATTTTTGCAGGGAGGACAGAGGGTCCACTTCCATGGGACTCACGTCTTCGCATATGCAAGGGAGCAGCTCTTGGCATTGCGTACATACATGAATGCAGCCCACGGAAGCATGTCCATGGTGACATTAAGCCGAACAACATTCTTTTAGACAACAACTGGGATGCCCGCATTTCTGATTTCGGTTTGCAACGACTGTTGAGCCTAGTGGGTGCTGTATCTGGCAAGGAGGTTGAAGTCAAAAAAGGTGATTCTCAAAGAGGCTCTTCAGTGTCGCCTGCTCCGATCGTTCCCCCAGCAGGTAAGCAATATTCTCAATCCAAATTGTTCAGTGCAATTTTTTATCGAATCTTAGAGTTGCTCGTTTCGAGAATCTCGCCTTCAGCATCCAGTGAACTAGCTCACTTCATTATCCTACATTGGTTTCTAAGATTCTTATATTCAACTCTATGGCGAATAAAGTGTTCAACCATTGCGAATGAAGTGTTCAAGGAGCATACTTGTAGGCATGTCTGAATCGGCACCTTTTGTACGGTGTCGAAAAGTGGCTCATGGCGGAGATTATATCAAGTCATGGATCTGGTTTACGTTGTGCAGGTGATTCTGTGTCGAAATTCGCGGATACTCTTCAAAACTTGAATCCAAGCGGGACGTTTGCAGAATTAGGAAGAAAAATATCGAGAAGAAGATCAACAACCAGTCAAAGTACCGATACGGCGGCTACGCCACATTTGCTAGGACTGTACCAAGCACCAGAGACAGCAACAGCGAAAAAGCCTAACCAGAAGAGTGATGTCTATTCTTTTGGTGTAGTATTGCTTGAAGTTCTTACGGGAAGGTCACCATTCGCTCAGCTGGCTGCCGGAGAGCTAGATCTTGTCACATGGACGCGGCTAGGTCTCCAGGAAAAGAGACCGCACAGTGATATTTTTGATCCTTACCTGGTAAAAAGCACCACAGATGAGAGTGAGATGATTGAAACACTCCAGGTGAGTACAGATTCTCTTTCAACCTTGTCTACATCATATTCTGAATGATGCGGTCTACAACAGCACTTTGTACTTGAAAAAGTGATCAATGTCCATCAAGTTGCATTTCTAAGAACGAGCACGTCTTGCTGCAGGTCGCCTTGGCGTGCACTGCGGTAAACCCCGATTCACGGCCCAAGATGCGGCATGTGGCGAATTTCTTTGAGCAACTTTGAGTGACCGTGGTTACTTTTATATAATCGGCATACCATCATCTTTTTTAAGTCATCAAGTAAAGGTGATCTCAACATGGTCCCACAGATATCTGCACGTGTATTGGATTACACCTTACGATAAATCATTTGAAGAATTACGAACTACTGAGGTTTTCCAGAACTGGAGCAATTAATGATGAGCTGCGGGGAACTCGAGGATACGGTCTTCGTAAGCTGCTGCTGAATGGTAGTTTGCTGGACCCGAGGAAACAGTTTTGTACTCCCCGCTCATGTAAGAAAGTTCCAGCACTCTCTGTGCCTTGCTCTATGAAACGTCGCATTGTTCGTTATGCGGACCTTGACTTCTACAAAGAGAAACTGAGCTGCTAGAGAGTGTAAAAGGGTCCCTAAAGTTCATCAACAATACCTGTAATCTCGTTAGCATAGAGTATACATGTCCTATCTGATGAAGATTATTTCGACCATGATGAAATATTGTATATCTATATACATTGTTCTCGATGATAGATAGGCACCTGAGAGAGTAGAGTGCACAAGGAAGTAAATTTGAGACCCTTCTGCAGAGGCTTATTCGAACCATCTATTGCAGATCTGATCAGAGTGGCATTTGAAATGGGAATCTCAATTGGCTTGAGAAGTGAACAGATTGACTTGTGAATCGAAATGATACAGACTATTTGATGTCTATTACTTAGCAAATTGTTTCATTGAATTACTTCAGGTGTAGTTGCTGTCTTTCTGACACAGAGAAACATATCATGCTATATTGTGCTTGCCTGTGCCGGAGCAACTCGTCAAAATGTAAATCCTAGCATTAAACTAACTCAATGGCCAAGCCACAAAGCGATGCAGCAACTAACATGTTGCAATTGGAGTTCTACTTACCTCGTTTAAGTTTCAATCAAATAAATGTTGTACTTCTTTTTATGGTGCATCACTGTGACGCGAAATGTTGCTCTTTCGAAGGGTAGTCACCAAGGACGACGTCCCGGCCGACTCTGCAGGAGTATTCCTTGCCTACCAAGGATGGCTCTCCTTCATCACTGCCATGGTCTTTCTTACCAGCATTGGTGTCAACGAGCCTTCCTCACTTTCATGGTGCAACTCTCGAATCGCAACCCCGCGTGCAACACCTTCTCTCAAGAAATCCTTCTCTTGAGAGCTGCAACGTCGTCATTTACCAGCGGTGAGTTAGATCGTGCTGCATCCTCGTTAATACTGTATCTGATTATGATTCGCAGAGGCTCTCTGCGAGATGCTCAACGCTCTGCAGGTCGCTGAGGGCACATGGAAAGTTGTGAAGGTGAAGTTGAAAATTTTCAGACTTGACTATTGCCTGGCTCGAATCAGTGCAAAACTAGTAGACTAAAAATCTTCTCAACGTTTGCATTTATTATCATCCAGTACTACAACATGATTGTGGGCTTACAGAGCAGAAGAGCCCCACTAGACTTAGTAAACTATATCTATTCCATCGAAAGTGAGGCAAGTCGAAGCCCATCTTGGAATACAGGTAGATCGACCAGGACGGAAAACGCTGCGTGCATCAAAGCTTGGATACGCGCTGCAATTCGAGCTTTGCAATGGTGCCAAGATGAACCTCATCTGGTCCATCTGCTAGCCTGAGAGTACGCGCGCTTGCCCATAAGTGTGACAATGGGAAGTCAGAACTCACGCCTCCACCTCCGTGAACTTGAATAGCATTGTCCAGTACTCGCAATGCAGCGTTCGGGGCAGCAACCTTCAAGATCCCACCGTTGCATCGGTACACAATCATGCTAAGTTTAACAAGGTAGAAATTAAAACACATGAAAAAAGAAAATATCTAATGTCTAATAAACGAACAAAGAGCACAGAAAGAGAGTTGTGTTTCACCTTTGCCATGGCAATTGCACCTTTGGCGACTTTATTGCCATACAAATCCAACTGATGAGCAGCATTCAGAACAAGCAACCGAGTTTGCTCAATATCTAGTCGAGACTGCATCACAATCCACTGAAATTTAGTACAGGAATTTAAAACCAACATTTGGACCCTCAGAAATTTTGCTTATTGTCCTGACAAAACAAGACAAGTATGTTCTCTACTATCTGTATGACCAAAACTTGGTAGTTTCAAAACTAGAAACAACTCAGCACGTGAGTGAAGAAATAGGCGCATGCAAGGGTACCATTCCTCCGCATTACTGCAAAAAAGAACATCGGAAGGTAGAAGTAAAAGGTGACATACCTTGGCTAGCATATGGGCAAATGAGCCCTGCTGGGAAAGGGTCTTGCCAAATGCTTTTCGCTGAGTTGCCCTCTTCACCATCGAATCCATGCCACGCTCTGCAGCGCCCACTAGCCTCATGCAGTGATGTAGACGCCCTGGGCCTAATCTACCCTGCAGCCAACATGAAAACCAACACATATCAACCAAACGACATGCCTAGGCCGTGCAAATCTTTTGACTGGTCACCAGCTTAACACTTAAACCAACATGAAAAACAAGATAAATCAAGGCTTGCAGGTCCTCGCTTACTTGAGCGATCTCAAATCCTCGGCCTTCGCCTAGCAACAAATTGGTGACAGGGACTCTAACATTCTCAAACTTAACTTCGGCATGGCCGTGGGGAGCATCATCGAAGCCAAAAACTAACAGTGGCCTGACAATTTTCACGCCTGGCGTGTTGATATCTACAAGTATCATAGACTGTTGCTTGTGCATAGCAGCATTTGGGTTCGTTTTACCCTGTACATGCAAAGAGGACATTTAGCAAGAGAAAATATCTAAATCAAATAATCCAGAAGTGTTTTTCAATTTCTACCTGCACATCGATTTGATCACCATCGGGCTTTATCCATACAGATTGAGCTGGTATCTAGGCCTAAACAACTAAAATACAAATCTCAACAACCTGACAATGCTGCTATTCGTAGATACTGACCATCACTATAAGCAACTGACATCGTGGATCCATTGCACCACTAGTCCACCATTTGTGGCCATTGATAATATACTCGTCTCCCTCTCTGTATCATCCCACGAAGCAAGAGTGAGGCACTCCTCTGGTTGAAAAAGAACATGATGTCATTAAACACAATGCTTTATGTTGTAAGATGGAAAAAAGTAGAGAAGCAGAAACCACCAATCTAGTTTATTTGTTGATGACTCTTCCTCTATAAACAACATAGTCACACATAAAGTTGCTACGGGCTTATTCGTAAGAGTGATCCCACCAAGAGCAAGAATTCAGAGGGGAAAATAAAATATGCAAAAAATACAACAAAAACTGATGACGTTAGGAAAAACCTTAGATCTGGTGCACACATGACTCACCTAACCATTGAACACTCGATATTAGTCGCATCAGAAGATGCCACATTGGGTTCAGTCATGGCAAATCCAGAGCGTATCTCTCCTTCTAGCAATGGCCTCAACCACTTTCTTTGCTGCTCTGAGTTCCCGTACCGTAATAAGACCTGTGCCTCATAAAAACCATCTCAAATCAGAACCGGTAGGAGAAATCCTTGTTCAAACAATTATAGCTAACTGTTTCATTTACACAATGCTACAGTAAATAGGACATTGCAGTCCCGTGCGTACTCAAGCCTTCACGTTCATATGATTACCCGCAACCATGGAAAAAATATCCCCGTTCAAAAAATGTTTCTATTTCTACACGCCTTCCCACTGACACAGTTGTAGATACTGAATGGTTAATTTGTTCGTACCTCCATATTTCCTGTGTCAGGAGCATTACAGTTCAATATTTGAGGAGCCCACATGGACCTCCCTAGGATCTCACATAAGTGGGCATACTCCAAATTGCTCAGTCCCGCTCCTACTAGCCGATCGGCTGAATCTTTAGAACGCATAGCTTTCTCAGTCTCAGACATTAAATCCGACGCCAGAGCAGCACTGTCTGCCTGCATAATGCAATGGTCTCATTAAAATTATAATAGAGTCACTTAATTCAAACTTGCGAATAACATGTCCCCACAATGAAGAAAACCAATATTTTATATATCTCTAGTCTCATCGGCGAAGCATAAAAGATATAACAAATAACAGTACCGGTATCCAAAGATTCCAAAGCCCTTCTGACTTGGCCAACTTCTTAAGCCTCTCTTCGGTTGGATGAATGGTCCACCTAGCATTAGAGTACATAAGATCATTAAGCTCATTTTCACTTGGATAGATATGTCGTTCCATAAAGGATATCAACCTTTTCCTTAGCTCCTGTACTCTCGCCGAAGGAGCAAACCCCAACAGATTCTGACTAGAACTGTCAGGCCCAGTGCTCCTTGCAGGAAGTTCTAGAGAAGCTGGTCCATCAAAAGAAAAAAAACGGAAAAAATAAATGAATAAAAAGTTGAGAAATACCTTATTGTAATAGACAAGACAAATGCAGAAAACTAAGATAAGCACGAAACAACGCTGCTTTTTACTTGACAAAAGCCGTACTTCAGTTTTACAAGGTGGAACACTCTGTCAACTATAGCCACATTGTATTCGGCAAGCATATGCTCACATTTATAAGTAGAAAGTGCCGCAGAATCCGATAAAATATCCAGATCAGGCAGCAAGCCTCAGCTAAAAACTACATAAAACAGAATTGAGAGCTTTAACACATCCTTGGAACTATTTCGGCACTCACCAGAAGGAGGTCGAGGTGGTAAAATTGGCCCTCGCTTAGCCAATCTCAACGCAGTCGCAGCAAAGAATAGCGCCATTTTCCCTGCGTCCTCTGCTCGTTTACCACCAGAAGCGTTGCCCTGTCAAACCAACAAATCAATAAGTCTACAGCAAACATCCTGATACAATTCAGCCCTCCCTTGAAAGCTCAGGCCCTCCCGAGTATATTTAAATATTTTAAAATTCAGTTTTACCTGAGGACACGTAAAAAGCCATATTACAAAAGGTCTTGTAGGTCACATATGTATTAACTAATACTAGACAATAATGCAAGAGTTAGAATGTCGAGTCTGAAAAAGTAGGAGTAAAACATCCTACTAATGTTGAGATGTTAGATTGCTCTACTAACGATGCTCAAAAAGGGAACCATTCAAATCTTTTATGGTTATGGGATTATCAGCAAGTAAGCTCAGCTAACCTGAAGCATACGCAAAAAAACTCCAGCACAGATGGCAGCGTATCGAAACAATGAAAGGACGGTATAGAAATTCCACGTGTTTGCTGGCCAGGAAACATCCTGTATTCAAGCGTTGGTGAATAAAAGTCTAATCACGTCAATAATCCCTTTGTCTATGTCAAAGTTGTTCTAGTTTACGCAAGCAGGTGCAGTATAACAAACACCTTAATGATAACGAATCTTCAATAAAACCCATAAATGGCAGAAAACGAGAAGGATATACCAACCACGTGTAAAAAGATCCTGTGGCTAATCAATATGAAATGAAGGGGTGAACCATGAGAGTACGCTTCACTTACAGCAGCACTACAATATTCAGCAACGTATTCTGGTAGCGATGGTATTCCATCTACAAGCTGTTTACTAAAACCAATGTTTTTGCCTGGAAGCTCGTCACTATCAATCACATAGGGCTGCATCAAAATACACCAACGGGTTCAAAAAAGAAGGTCAATAGAAAAAAACACAATATTTGATCAAAAACTTATAGTAGAGGAAGAATACAAGTGGCTCCAACAACGGAATTAAAATATTCACAAAGGTGTTCAATTAGTTCCAGATAAAAAAAAGCTTGACAATTGTACCAGGCAGTTGTAGGCAGCATCTGACATCTGATTTCCAAGTGTTGACAATTCCCAATCCAGGACACCGATAACACGAGGCTGCAGAATTTGCATGAGAACCCCTTAGAAGACCAATATCTTTAAGGACAAAGGAACGTTTCGAGCGCAGAATTCGGTGCAGCAGATAGACAACAAGATAAGAGCTTAAGCAAAAATAATTAACTATAAAATAAATAAATAAATAAATAAATAAATAAATAAACAATTCAGAAGCTCATTGCCATAATATCCTTCGAAATTCCAAAGTTGTTCTTGAATACTTAAGACTCACCTCAGAAGGATGAAATATGAGATTATCAAGCCGATAATCTCCATGCACAATTCCGGTCTTAGAACCAGCAGTTCCATCCTCTGCCGGGATATTCTCTCGTAACCATTGAATGACTTCTAACATGTTGGGATCTGGATCAGGTTTCCCTTTACCTGTCGATTGATGGTATTGTGCAGTCCACCTTTCAACCTATTCCCACAATTACAGCAGTAACGAGTTTAGTGACAATCACTATAAGAGAAGCAAGAAGGTTATTCGAAGTGAATAACAAGTGAATGAAGCAGAAAACCAAGTGATATTAACAAGTCCCAAACCTGTCTCTTGCAATAATTATCTTTGCGCCCATATCGACTCAACCCTATGGCATCAACATCTGCTGCATGAATAGCAGCCAGAACTCTGGCCATTTCACCATATATTGCCCTTCGCTCTTTGGGATCCATACCCTAAGCAAGAGCAGCAAAATTAAAAACTCCAACCATGTCATCGACAATCACGTTAAAGCACACCATTTTCTCAAATGAAACAGATTCACTTGCTCAAAATACCTCTGATCTGCTTCACAAGTTCTCAAAGATCAACATAAACAAACGTAGGTAAAAAAATACGCGAGTTGAATACTACGCCCTTGACGAAGAAGGAACCTTTTATAAGATTCACTGGCACTTACAACAAGTTCTACACTAAAAGAGATAAAGGGCAATATGATTGGACTTTGGTCCATTTTAAGACACACCAATCCGCTTAGCTAAAACAACTCCATATTCTTACCCAACTCTGGTAAGAACATCTATGAAAATTAATATTTATGAAATAGGGATCTTACTGGCAAAGTCGCATCCACAAACAGACGTCCCTCCAAGTGCTCCATAACATAGAATGGAGTGCCAATCACTGTAGAATCTGTGCACAGGCAGTATACACATGGAACAGGCACTTTGGTTTTGCCTTCACCCAATGCAAATAAGACCTGTAAAATAGCACAGTAAGTTGAATAAGAAAGACCATCGAACGCCAACCCGAGTTATCTACGTCAATGTGAGTATTGAAAAAATTAGCGACCAAATTCCTCAATGTTTGACACTGAAAAATTGATTATCCCGATTATAAGGAAGTTATGTACATGTGAAGCATTACGTGAGTAACGAACTACAGCGTTCAGAACTAGCATCACCTGACTGCTCGCACGCTTTATTGAGATTAGAGACGAAAAATTCACATAGGTTTCCAATATTAAAACAGAAATCAGTGGAGGAAAAAATCTAGACAGGCACCTGATACTCGCGCTCAATAGCGTGAGCTGACTGGAGAATTTGCCCAGGTGGTTTCTTCCGAAGCACATAGCGCTGAACACACCTATTCAGTTCCACTTGCAGAAGGTATGTCGGATTCGATTGTCCATGTCCAAACTACAAGATCAAATCAAACAAAGGTTTGTAGCGGTAGCACAAGCAAAACACTCAAAAACCCTACATAAATCTTTTAGTTGGGCTCATGCATCTTCTTGTGATCGTATGTGATTCCACGCTCGCTTTGATGTGCATACCAAGGTCTACGACGAATAAGGAACGCGTATTCGTAATTCCAAGCATGATATATGCTACATGTGAAGACTTCAAGTCATTTCATTAAATAATGGACGCGATAATTGGTGGATGCTCAGAATGTGGCATAATTTAGTGAATGAGTAAAGAGAAGAAAGGAGATCTTTGTGTATTGCGAAGCACAAGTGCTTCAAGTTCAGAACCTTTACCTGAGAAATCTTTAAGGATGCAGGCGGAGGCAGAAAACCCTTGACATGTGTTTGCAAATAACTTAATAGTCGTCCCTCGTCAAGCCGGTGGGCAGAATCCACGGGAACCACCATGGTCATTGTATTTTTCGCCATTTCCCTTCTAATTTCAATCTGATCAATCCCTCCCTGTCAGATTCTTTGCGAATCTCTCTGACCGCAGGAATTCAAGTCGATTAGCTACATCCAAATGACCTCCAAAAACTGGACTACCAACCCAATTAAAGTGCACCAAAGTTCACTCATAAATTCCTTACAACCACTAAAGCGAAAACAGATAGAAATCTTCCCAATTAGCGTTCAATCATTCACAAAAGACCACTCGATTACGTCATCATCAGCGAGATCAAGGCTAGACATGAACTTGCCATTCAAATTCCAACACTCGAGGTAGTTAATCACACAATTTACCTATGCAAAAGTGCACCGCCCTTAAGAAACCCTGCAAAACACTGTAAAATTGTCGAGAGATGAGCAGAGACGAACATAGTGCACGAAGCAATTCCGGTCAATGGATCAGTCGTCAGAGCACCGATAGGTCGCATTGATCGGTGCCACATGAAGCTTGACGGGAAAGGATGCTTTTCTCCAAGTCCTCCAGAGGTGGGACCACCAAGTGGATGAACGACGCTGCGAAATCGACTGGATGATTCAGTGTCCAGTTGAGCCGCAATCTGGAATCACAAGTTGAAGAATTTGTCAGCCCCTCTCAAACTCACCTCCCAAACAGTCGAAACATGAGAATGCTCCTGCACAGATTTGCAGTTCGTCAATTCTGCAGAGTAACTGAAATGGGTACTCGTTTGTCTGGTGCTTCGGAAGATAATTGTGAGTAAGTCGAGCTCTATCTTTGGATTAGTGCATTATAGAGGAACCCATTCGTAGATTAATTTGTACTTCTCTTGATGTGGCAGTGTGTCGAACACGCTAGCATGGTTCGGAGGCCTTGTCGACATCAATTGAATTGGGGCAAATCAATTTAATGTCTGTGGTTTGTGAGCATCTTGGGTGAACCTTGCAATTGGGGTTTTCGTTACTCGGGTATCAGGTCATCGAGCTGTTTGGTGCCTGATGGTTCGCCTTCCTGGCTCTTAAGGGCTTCTGCGATCTCAGCGTTAGCGTGGTTTTTCATTCCAGGAAGACCTTATCGAAGGTGATTTCGTTTTCCGGTGTGCACATTCTTTGTACAGGCGGATTCTTCGTTGCCACATTTGATATGGTTGGGCTTACTTCTCCTGGATCATTGCACCTAAATTGGGGCTTGATAATTGTAGCCCTGTGACAAGTATTCGGCTATTTGTCACAGAGTTTAGGGTTTAGGGCTCAGCAATTCCTTGAGGCAACCTGCTGGTAATCCTGAGGCTCCGGAGAACCTCAGCAAGAAGTTTATCTTTGTGAATTTAAGGTGCAAACAATTTATGTCAACTTATTCTTGCTTAGCATTTTTTTCTGTATGGGGTTGCCTACATTTCAGGAGGAGGGTTGACGATCGGTTGGTGATCTTCTTCTCTCGTCTTCGTGTAGGTTTAAGTCACAATGAGGTATGGAGGAGTGGAGGGCGTGAAGCGGAGAAGACTGGTGGTGGAGGAGTCATCGACCTCCACAGTATCAAATTCTTCTAATGTCATTGAAACTGTTTCTGAAAGGGAAGCTCCTGCTGGTGAAACTTCTGTTTTTGATCTCGACCTGCTCGATTGTACCATTTGCACGGAGCCTCTGGCAGCACCAATTTATCAAGTATGAAATCATCCCTCCTGTTTTATTTCTGAAATTTGTCTCTTTTTTCTTTCTGCAATTAAATAAATTTGGCCAAACCTTACACCGTATGTGGGAGTACAATTGCAGTGTGAGAACGGTCACGTTGCGTGCGCCTCATGTTCCAAGCTGACCAAAAATGTGTGCCCCTCTTGCAAACAACCAACGGGCTCCATCCGATGTCTAGCACTCGAGAAATTGATCGAATCTCTCAAAGTCAAGTGCAAATACTATTCCTTAGGGTGCTCTGAAATGGTGAAATTCTCTGACAAGTGTTACCACGAGAGGATCTGCTCATGGGAGCCTCTGGCATGCCCCTTTCCCGAGTGCAGCTTCCAAGGACAATACAACTTCTTCCAGGAGCATGTCAAGCTCAGGCACGGTGACAACTGGGCTCCTCTTGTCCCCGAAACCGACGTGAGCTTTTTCATGAAGCCGACGGATAGGTACTACATGCTCTTCGATAAGGGCATATACTTCATGGTGCACCGCAGAAAGTCCAGCTTGGGTGACATGTGCTACCTTTCTCTGCCGAAGGTTCTGTCAGCTTGTTATGGTACGGGCACATCCTTCCACTACAAAATGGAAATCAAGACAGTAAGCAACGTCGATGGTGCAACCCTATCCTCCTTCAAAGTGGATGCGCATTGCTGCAATGAGGATTCTAAAGCATCGTCAATCCCCAAGGACGGGTTCTTAATTGTGCCTGAGGACAGATCAGTGGAAGTCTCAGTTCTGTTTTTGCCTCCTCGTCTCTCACCGAAGTTCGGCAATTCGTCACTTCGGTGGGGGGATCCTTGAGTGGTCCCTGCAAGGTTGGTCACCAAGATGAGCTTATGGCTTACGTTCTCTAGATACGTGGCAAGCATAGTCTAGAGCTGTTTCAACGAATTGGTTGAATGGCATAGTTCCTTGTTTATTACAACAATTTGTATAGTTGAAAATGCATTTAGTATCTATAATGAGTTCATTACCTCCACTGAATTTGTTGTGCGCCATGCGCAGCCCTGAGTGTTCGTGTAAGAACTTTTTTCATGAAAATTATCTGGTATCAAAGATGCGTCTTCTCTACTCGGTGAATAGGAGCAGGTATTGCAGATTTTTGATGGCAACTTTTCAAGGGCTTCCGTTGGAGGCTCCTTAGGTTCGACAGTAATGTATTTTTGGCAATTCATGTAGTCGGTCATAATCTGCCGCGTATATGGTAATATGGTATTAGAAGCACTTCATTTCCTGATCAATAACGAGTACATGGTTGCGGAAGAGATAACTTAGTTGCTTTGCGCTGCATTTGCAGCAAACACTACAGTATTTTCTATTCGCTTGAACATAGTGGTGAAGGAAGTGAAATTAAGTGGGTTTGTCATATATTATCAAGTTTCATATTATGCTAAAAAAGTGAGCATGTCAGCTGAACAAAGTATGTATTGAACAGTTGCACCTTTGGTCAGAATTATTCTTATTAATCCACGTGCATCGTTCATTGTCCTCAATCATGGCCTCATCAAACTGTGGATGTAACAACGTATTGGTTCTGCTCTTGCGTTGCTCTGAACACTCTGTTGTATTATACAAGATGCCTTCCCCAACATAATGGAGCCATCAAAAAAATTGATTGCTTCTCGGATTGTTACAGCTACTTCAAGGCTCAGCTCAAAACACTGTACTCAGATATAAACTAGACAGAGTTTTGGCTTTCTCTTTTTCAATACTCCTCACAAAGGAGAGTATTTGAAAATACATCTAGTCTGGCCACACCTCATCACACGCTTCAGTCGATGTGGTTTGAAGCACTACTAACCTCACCATAGTATATTGATGGTAAAATCTGCACCCGTGTACATGAAGACGTCGCCGAAACTACTTCCAGCAGCCGCATCAGTCATTGGTCAAAATAGTATGATCCCTATTCTGCTATGGGATCTCATTTTGAAGCGAGAAAAGTAGATAGCAAGTTGGTGAACAGAGTATTGCTCCGTGGTCAACAGCCAACATACAGAAAGATCTAGAAAAATGTCTTTCACTTCCTTGTAGAATCTTTTCTCTTGATGAAATAAGCACCAATTTTCGAGGATAATTTAACCTTTTTTTGTTTCTCCCCTGATTGAGTTTTCGTGGTCATGACAGGCTGACCACTGGACTCCACTGGCGACCTCTCTTGACGCCCTGGACTGGCACCGCTTGCAAACGAAAATGAAGAGCGTGAAGGGCTACTACTTTGAGAATCCTCTAAGGTACATGTGCTATTCATGCTGCCTTGTCTCTCTCCAGTAATAAGCCTGTCCATTGGATGACCACCATTTAATGCTCCTGAGAATGATAGAGATTTTCCCTCCATCCTTTTGACCCGCAGAGCTGCTTCACAAGAAAATTTGGCTGCTTCAGCTTCCTCCCGCTTAGTTACTGCTTCGTCCAATTCAATTCGACAAGCCCGAACTTCCTTCTCTAATATTTCAACTTTCCGCCGCATTTCCCTCTCACTTGCTTTTGCTGCATCTACCTGTTCATACCATGCATAGAGCACCATTGCAGAAGATTCAGTCAAGTACCTACATCAAACTTAATAGCTGATGGAGCAACAGGTATATTGAGATCGAATGAATAGTTGCCTTAAAACCCATTGCAAGTCACTTAACCTTCCATTGAGCTGTAACATCAGACTCCGCTTCCAATCACTTGTCATATTCCAATCGTTACAAATCCCTCGTGTTTAAATCAAAGCATCATTTCATTGCAATAGCAAAAGAGCGCTTTAAAATCGAGATTGTTTGTTCCTTACCTGGTAGTTTTGGAGGTCTAAATCTGAAACTTTCTGGCTCAAAAATGACTTATCAACAATAGCACACGAGTCCTAGAAACACAATCCACTGCTACTTCTCGGTCTACTATTGATACAAAACAGGAACATATACAAAAGGTAAAGTGAGAATCTCACCTGAGCCATCCCTACAGCTGCACGCTTATTAACTAATTCTTGCAAGTCTCTAGTTTTAGTTGTTAAGTTTTGGTACTCCTCGAGAGACATTGATATTTCACCACCCTGTTCCTCCCCTCGTTTCATACCGTAGAACTCCGGTATAGTCTTCAACCTCATCTGCAACACAGAGATGCACTTGAAAATAACTAAAAAGATCAAGGAAAATTTGTTACACATTGTTGCAATGCCAGTAACAACTGAATGCCGTATTGTGCTATTTGAGAAAATTATTCAGTGGCTAAACTCTGACAATACTGTTTACTTGAAAACGTTACGATTTTAGGAGAAACATTTTAAACAACTAAACATCAGACAAATACTGCAAACAACCTGTGCAAAAGCCCATTCTTCACTTGCTTTGACTGTGTCAACTTCGAGTTGTAAAGCCTGCAATTTCGCATCGATGGTTTCAATGTGCGCCTGCGCTTCCTCAACCTCTAGCCTACTCCTCTCAGCTTCTTCAGTAGCTTGTCCAGCGTGAAACGTAGCTTCCTCTGCCTCAGCTATTACCTGCTCCGATATCCAGCATGGGTATATAAGAACTACACACTCAGCGAAACAATCGCATGTGCTGAATTTACACTAGATACAAGGTTCAGACGATGAAAATGGACTATACTTGGTTGGTGAATTGCCGACATGAACCACAAGGAAGAAAGTCAACAAACATGTGTGATGTTAATAGGATTGGGTTCCCCAAAGACCTTGGTCAAGGACTCATTCAAAGCAAGATTTGCATCTTTCAACGTTGTCTCCGAGATTACCGCAGCCTCCAGTTGCGCCCTCATTTGATTCAGTTTCATTTCATATTGGTGGTCCTTTTCAGCCAAAGCTACTCCATTATCCTCTCGTATTGCTGTCAATTCTGCTCTTGTATTATTAAGGTCTGCCCTTAAATCCGCCATGGAGGCTGCCATTGTCCTCTCTGCCTCGTTCGCCTTTTGCAGTTTTGCGGTTGCTTCGTCTAGGTCCAGTTTGAACGTCCTCGCCTGAAAACAGATGAAAATTGAGATCCGTTAGTTATTTGCTATTTAACATGGCCTGTACTACTCCAGTTTCTCTCATGCAATACATGTATTTTGAAGAAAACTTAATAGCACCCGTTAGAATGTCAGTTGTAGTCGTTTTCCTGGTCAGATGACTGTTGGACAAAACTTCTGCTATGCTTAGCCTTTTATCTAACTCTTCCTCCCTAAGATAGCATTGACTTTGCAACCTGAGTTTTGATAGGCTGGGCTTCGATAGGTACTTTGTCAGCGAGCTTTGAAGCATCTTCAAGATCTATTTTCATTCTCTGAAGCTTCAAACTGTAATCCATGAAGGCAGCTTTAGCCCGTGCTTCGCCTTCTTTCGAGGTAGATGCCTCAGCTTTCAAGGCCTCCACCTGCGCGCATAATGCGGCAGCTTCCCCACCTACCCAGTCTACTGCTTGCTTTGTTATCACCAGTTCATCCTTCACCTTTTGCAGCTCAGCACTAGTAGCAACTGAAGACTCTTTAGACTTCGCTTCTGCATCTTTCAAAGCATACAACTGGGTTTTGAGATCATTGATCTCTGCCTGTGAACTGTTGACAGTTTCTCGGTACTTCGCCTCGACATCTTTAATCTGAGACCTCAATTCCTCCAATTCCAGGGTCATTCCCTCTAGCTTGCTTTCTGCTTTTCTAGCCGTTACAAGATCACCCCGCACTGCCTCAAGATCAGCACATAGAGTACAAGTAGCTACTATGTCTTTGCTGATAGATGCTGCAGGTTTAGTCTCAGACTTCATCTGTGCCGCAGTCGCCTTCTCCACTAGATCATTTGCGGCCATCAACTCCACAGTCAACTCCCCTATTTTCTTTTCTGATAAGGACGTCGCTAATATCAGTGTGTTAAAGTCCAATTTAACATCAGCCTGCACTTCACGAATATCCTCCTTCAAACCCCTAACTACTTCCAATGAGCTCTCAAACTCTTCCGTATATACAAGTTGCAGCTTTGCGATCTCTTCTATTACACTAATGAGCATTGCCAATACAATATTGTAGAGCTCCTTAATTTGGGTCAGTTCAAACTCAGAATCCACTGGGACATCCTTGAGAGTTGCTAGCTCCTTCCGACATTTTTCGTGCTGTCCCTGTGATGCACTCAACTCACCACACAATCTGGTAATTTCTATTCCTGCACTAAATAATTCTTTGCATGCTGCCTCAAGCTCGGTCTGCACATACTTTATCTCTTCCCTCTCTTTAGCAAGATCTGCTGTTAAGATGTCCTTCGCAGCCTCTAACGCTGTTAGTTCAGTCTGTAATTTCAAATTGTCTTCATGGGCAATTTTGATGTCGGTGGCAAAGTTCTCACGATTGGCTAGTTGTTCCGCCTCAAGCCTGCAAATATCTTTGTTTGCACTGAAGAGCGCCGAGGAGCAGGTTTCGTACTCCTCATGCAACGCTCTCAATTCAGCTCTTAACTTCTCCATCCCTCCTTTAGCTTCTGAAAGCTCATTGAAAATGGTATCATACTGACCAATTCCATGTTGTAAAGTTTTTTGTACATTATGCAACTCTTCTTTTGTACTCTTTAGCTCGGTAGTGCATTCCTCACAACGAGCCAATGCGGCTGTCAACTCATCCTGTAGTCTATGGATCTCTTCTTTCGCATCCGCACATGCTGAGAGTGAAGCTTCATAATCCGCATGAATACCAAGAGTCTCATTTCTCGCAACCAGGATATCCATGTAAGAGGCTTCATGCAAACCTCGCAAGTCCTCTAATTCTGCTTCCAGTGCATTATTATCTCTTAACGCGGTAGCAAGTTCTGAGGAAGAGAATTCATATTGACTCCGCAATCTAGAAATCTCTTCTTTCACTTCATAAAGCTCCATCGACGAAGATTTCTGCAATCTCTGCGCAACTTCGATACCTTCATGTAGTACATGAATATTATCCTTCGCATGAGCAAGCTCTACAGTCAAATTTTGTGCAGCCTGTAAATCAGCTTCAAGCCAAGTAATTTCTTCTTTCGCTCTTGCCAGCTCTAAGCTACAGGTATCATGATGGCTCCGAACATCGCTCAAAGTTGCCTGCAAAGTACTAACATTCTTCTTTACAATCTCAAGCTCTAAATACACGCTTCTATGCTGATCCCTTTCAGCTGCAAGCACAGACTGCAGCCTAGATATTTCCGTTCGAGAATCCTCAAGCTGTAAAGAGGTCGTTTCATAACGTACTCTTTCAATCTCGTGCTTTGCATTATCAAGGTCTGCAAAACAATCGAACCGGCATAAAGTACACTCGCTTAGAGGTAAAGTAGTAACACCTACTAGCCAATGCTCCTGCAACAGATTAGGTTCTGATCCACATTGAAAATGTTCGAAAAATCGTACTAAAATATGTCGCAAGGTAGCCTCTCTTATATCTTGAGTGAAAGGCACCCAAACCCAATCGTAACATGAGAAAGAAGGGGTTATCCATCACAACCATCATCCTTATTAGACACATTTTCTTAGAATACTGAGCTGGGCAAAGAAATTAACCACAACCAAAGCTGTCATAAAAAAACAGACAAAAAAGTATATTCACTGACGTCTTTTGTTTTTATCTATAAAAAGATGTATGCATTTACGAGAGCACATTGCATTTGTATCTACCTGCTGCAAACTTTAAATTGAGATTCTTTGCATCTTCAAGCTCATTGTTAAGTCTTTCGACTTCCTTGTGAAGTGCTGTGTCAAGTTGCCCGCTCGAATCCTCCCTCCAATTCGATGGTAATGGTACAGCCTCCACCTCCACGTCGTCAGAAGCTGCGAAATGTTCGACAAGGGATATGTGATCGAGGAGACTCTTGATGTTGGTGAATTCTGTTAAAGCCTGTGCCTTGGCACGTTCTGAGACAGCTAATTGTTCTTTCAACTTGTTGATTTCCTCGTGAGCACGTTGAAGTTCCGACTCAAGGGCAACAGTCCTCTGCCAAAGTTACTAGATACGTCAAAACCAGATATAAATTAGGGTTAATAAATACACAAGCGCACTATATACAGGAAGAGGCCACATCTCACGCTGACGGTGTAGAAATTCTGCTTGGAAAATGCCTTCACTGGCTTATACATGTTTAGTCGTATGTAGGGCAGTTTACAATGAACATACTTCAGAACGAAATTACATTTAAGCACGATAATTGCTGAGCACTAGGACAATGTAAGGCCAAACAACACTCTTCCCCTCCACACGCACATACGCATGAGAAGAACAAGAAAAGACAAGAAGAAGAAGTCACATGGTAATCATACTAAAATGGAATCAGTAGAAAATTACAAACGTATGGTAAATACAAAACTACACCTCTTCAATGCATGTTTTTATTACCTCAGTGAGATGACTGGAACCAACCACGGTCTGGGAACCCAGCGAATGGTATGAATCAATGTGTTTAGTTGATTCGTCCAGGAGGTAAGATTGATGTGAGCCATTGGTCTTGACAGGTCTCTTGTCTTTGAACATGCTGAACGCCGCTTTGGCTTCAGATGCAAATGGAACCAACGAATCTACATTTCCCTTTGGCTCCACCATGACTCTCTTAATACTCTCCAAGTCCCTGAATGTGCCGACACAAATGTTGTGCCCCTAATCGATAGTATCGCTGATGACTGATCGTGTTAAGGAAAAAGGACTTGTATCAGTCTAGAGCTAATCAATCAACCTAAGTACCCAGTGAACGCTAAATCTGCCAGAGAGACCGTTTCAACTCGCAACAACACAAATCTCATCTTAATGGAAAACCCAATGAGAAGCAAACAATATTGAACAAGCTTCCAACGATTGAATTGCAGAATCTGATAAAAACATACACAACAACTAGAGTTCAGAGTGATTTTCACTTGCACAGCCGTTGTTTTCATAGTTGCAATAACTCGGAAGTGTATTCTAACCTTACACCCGTTAAACGTTGCACCAAACCATCACCTCCATCGTGCATGATAATGGACTAGTTGCCACCATTCCCCAGAGATCTCGTCAGCACCCGACACTCCGTACACATTCAGATAACAACTCCTCCATATAGAACTTCTGACACATTTCCGAACGCAACGGAAAGGTTCTGCCATGATGTGTTGCTAGCACATCAATTGACCACGGTAACAATTGGATCAGTGCCCCCATTCGAATCACAGGAACCTAAACTCCATAGGGAATCCAAGACACGATTACTCCAACAATCTGTGTTTGTTGCTTCAACTTGTAACCAAGTGCAACAATACAATTTCCATGGTGGTATCATCCAGCTTCCGGCTAAATCGTTGCGATCCTCGGTCAGACCTAATAACAACAGCACAATTTAGGAGACTTTCTTAAAATCTGCCACGTTCGAACTTAAACAGTAACCCTACTCTATTAAAAACCATGTGAAACAGCATCCGAGGAGAAATAATCTTCTGACACAGCATTGTGAGACCCTTGAATTTTCTTCGCGTTTTTTAAAATAAGGTCAATCCAAAAGATGATCGAGTGAAGGTGCGAGGGAACATAGCATCCTTGTGGCCACAAAATCTGTAACTGCTCAGACTACTGCAACAACTGCTTCAGGAATCTATACGCAACTACGTTCGCTCTAAATATGCTTTAAATCGACAACTAAAATCCACCCCTTTCTCTCACAAACCTCTAATTTGCAAAAAGTAACAACCGCACTTGCAGATATATCAATAAAGAATTATCAAGAATGTGGTCACGTCAGGTGGAATGATAAAATTCAATGCCTGTCCCGTTTACAGATTCTTCATGTGTACTAAATTTCTAGCAAAGAAATCTTCCGATATCGTAACCGCTTGGGCGCGATCCAAACCCTGCAAGCCACCACTCCTTTCGAACCAGACAAACGCGCGCATGATACTCTCATGTATTAGAAAGAAACACCGTGGTCCCAATATCACTCGCACAGCTACAAAAGAATCAATCATGCCTTTGCTCCACTGAAGGACTAAGTAAACTAGTGAGACCGTCTGACCGCAAAAACGCAACCCAGCTCAATCACTTCAACCACTGTACCGCAAAACCAGAAACAAGGCACACGAGCTACAAGCAAAGAGACATCGCTCCCCAAAACTGCACCTCGAAGCCACATCCCAACATCACCCAGAAACAGTAGACGAAAAAGCACACTCCCTTACCCTCCCCACCCACACACACACACCCTCAAAGACAACTTTTCACGTGAACAAAGACTGAGTCTGATCCAAGGAGCCCAGAAATGGAGAAAATGAAAATCATGTCAAACCTCTCAAACCAAGAAGCCAAAACTCAAGAGCTCCCAAGAGACAAAGCTTGAAAAACGCAGACGAGGGAACAGCGAGAGAGAGAGAGAGAGAAGGCTACGTTTTACAGCAGAGAACACAGAAGAGGTCTGTTCCCATAGCCAGAGCCTAGCATTGCAAGCTCACCAACAAGTTTCAGGCGACAGGTTAGTGTACTGTCAGCGTTAATGGCCAAAGACGATGGCGTCTGTGATTGTCCAAGCAATTTGTCGCGTCCAGAGTAATTCCTGGGACACACACACACACAGAGATAGACGACGATTCAAGGAGAACGGGCAGGCACGCAGGCTCGGAGGAGGAAGAAGGAGTCGGAGCTTGGGCCGCAGTGACTGACTGCTACACTGCAAGTTGGGCTTGGACCTGGCGGGATATCACCGATAGATGACGAATCCGTCCCTTCCCACGTCGCCTGGCGTCGATTCCACACTGGATGAAAGAATGTGTGGACGACAGTTTCGTAGACGAATGAAAGTGGTGCATGGATGGATTATTTGTGCCGGCATAGCCTGTAGCTAGAGGAGGCTTTTGCAGGAGTGCTTGGTTGACTTTGAAAATTGGATGGGATCATGGGCACACTTGTCAATATTCCGGAGCATCGCCGGTCGCCTTCTCTGATTGGGGGCACCCTGTTTCCCTTCATACACAACCTTTCGGCCGCGCTCTAGATCCCATGTCCCGATTGGGCCATCCGAGTTCCCCTGGGGGAACTGTTCCCATGTCTACCGCCATTGACACACAGTAGTCACTTGATGAATGTTTTCCAATTCATACAAATAAATTCATCCATGATGCTCTCCATTTATAATCACATCCATGCTGCTCTAATCCTTGTCACGATCTTTTTCATTATTTTTTAATGTGTATAAATTACAATATTTGGATCATTTTTTCGTGTTAGAACCTCGTATAATTAACTGTTTATGTATGTTGTGATGAATAATTGACAGGTAACTTGTTCTGTATCATTATCTGCACTCGGTGTTAACTATCCCATATCCTTTTAAAACTTCATTCTTAAAACCAAAATCAATACGAACGTAACGTAATGAGAAAGTAATATGATTGATCAGGTGTTCCAAAATATGACTTGTGATTCCTGAATTGTTGCTAAGCTGAAAATTTTGATGTACACGAAAATCTTCATACGTACACAAACGCGCACACACATACACACACACAAATATTAAAAAAATGTAAACTCTTTTCAGCACTAAAATGTTCGGAGTTCACCTTAAAATTTGTGTTCAGATGATCTGTTTGTTTAATTCAAATCAGTTGCTACTAAAAGACGGGGTTACAAATCTATAATTGTTTAATTTTACAAAAAACTATATAAATGTGTGGGCGTTGGTCAATACATCAATATTCTTGCAGTCTTTGACATGCACCAAAACCAATAATTACGCATACTTTGACGGTGTGCGTGAGGGGAATCAGGTGGCAACGATACCCCAAAAGTGCTGCCCGCCTACCCTCAAAAGCCAAGCCCTGATGACAGTGTTGAGTGTTTTTTAAAGAAAGTCACTTCGGTTCGGCGGTAGCCCCTCTCCTCAGACTGAGTCAAGTTCCCCCTATGCTAGAAAGAGAGAAAGAGCATTGGGGCACGACGAACAACACGGCATGAATGGACCAGAGAGCACCTCAGAAGAAGCTTCTAGAGCCTCCCTCCCTCACACACCGGACCAGATCCCTATAAAAGCAAACCCCCCACCCCACACACATTCCCCATACCCTCACCGCACAACAAGCATGACAGCAGCGTCAGTTACAGTTCCCAGCTCCTCCTCGACCCCGTCCCCTTCTCCTGCCCTTCCCTTCCCCTTCCCCTTCCTTCTAACACCTCTTCTTCCGTTAGTTTGCTCCCCGCCCGTTCTCCTCCTGTTCCCTGTTCCCTGCTCTCCCGCGTTCCCAATGAGACGTGCCAGCTCCAGATATGCACAAAGGACAATGCCAGCAGGATGAGCGCCAAATTCCCGCTGCCACGTGGGATATGGGCGGCGGGAAGGCTGAGATGGAGGTGGGAGGGACGGTGACAGGAGTAGGCGGTGCTGGCACCTTGGGATTGTGGGTTCTTGTTTGACACCCCCCCTGCTCTATTAAATAGTAGGACCAGCCAGGGTTGAGTACAAGCAATCCTTCTTTCTTTCTTACACTCACTTATGAAGCTGTTTTTAAACAAAATTCATGACTCCCAATTTTTACCAGTTGACAAGTCTTTGATTTCCAACCAAATGTCATCCTTGCTCAGATGTAGTGTATCATTGATTAACACACATGTTGCTCCATCATAAAAATAAAACATACCATTTTATTTTTTATTTTATAATCTGTGTAGTGAGCATTTGATTGGTATGAGTGATATATATATATATATATATATATTACGTTGAGAATTTTAAATTTTATATATTCAAGTACAATATGCATCTGATTTTTATTTGAGTCTTGTATATATTTAACTTTTGAATATCATGAAAAAAATCCAATATAATAATAATAATAATAATAATAATAAATCACATGTAAATGATTATTTGAATTTTTGTTTGATAGATTAGTTGTTTACAGTCTTGTCAACATTTACCCTTGCTTCTCAAAATTCATTCCGTTTTTCAAATATACCCTTTCCATATAATGTCTTTGATGTTTCCAAAAAAATAGTATTGCTATTGCAAAGATGATATAAGGATTTACAAAAAAATATTGTAAAAAAATCCTACATAGTTTTAATTGAGACATATATTAAATTATTACATCAATAAATCAATCTGATGAATGCATATATATATATATATATATATTTATTTATTTATTTATTTATTTACATACATACAAATGTGTTTTGGTTATTAGATACCCCTTAACAAATATTTTACACTCACTCAAGAATATTTGTTAGAACAAAGGTCCTTCCAAAGTTGTAAACTTATACCTAGCAATCAGTATTTCTTGCGTAATTATAAAATTTCTATCCACCAAGGTTATAAATTAAGCGAAATACATCTCTCTCCATTTATGTATGTATATATATATATATATATATATATGTTTATATTTTTTTTCTATATTTGTTGTCTATGATAGAAAAATTTGAGGAAAAAGAATAAAAATGAAAATTAAAACCTACAAATTGTAGAATTCCCATATTAATGCATTTTTTTTTATTTATTTACAAAAATCTACCTTAAGTATATAAAAAATTCTATAAATTATTTAAAACTAAATAAGGCTATTGGACTTTGTAGAGAAGTAGATCCACCTAATGATATTAACTCAGTGTGCTTATTTTTCAAAAATCTATTATAAAATTAGTCAAATACATATATTTTTCTTGTAGATGTTTATTTTGTTGTAAAATACATCTAACCTTTTGTTTTACATTATGTAGTCTTAGATTTTTTTGGTCTTCTTTTATAAATATAACTCTACATTAGGTTTTATTTTATTTTTTATATTTGATTTGTCAGAAAAAAATTTAAAAAATTATGTGTTTTATTTGATAATTATTTTAAAAGCATATGCAATGTAGATATTTAATTCTACAAATTTATTCTAACTTCTTTGATTTAAATATCCTTAATTCTTACTACATATATATATATATAGAGAGAGAGAGAGAGAGAAAAAAAAAAAAAAACAAATACTTATTGTTGTGTATTTTTATCATCCAAACATCTAAATGCCATTCTTATATGTTTATCTTGTAGCTTAGTGTTGAGACATTTTGGACAAAAGATTTGTCTAAGCCTTACTTCTAATAAATAGAGTCATTGTCATTATTAACTTTGTCGTGTTTTGTTGTTTTGTTTGTCTTTCACATCCGTTCTCATAAATTGGTCAAAGTTTATATTATACTACATTGCCATGTTATGGATACTCTTTAATGGGTCATGAACTACTTAAGTACAAAATATTTGGAATAGTTCTAAGCTACAACATCTGTGTTGTTGGTATGATTGTGATTTTTATTAAAGTTTGATTAAGCCAGTTTCAACTTAATGACTGTTTTGAAAATAAGTAAAATTTTATTGTTTTATCAAATGACATTAGCTGCAATTGATGTTAAACTTGGAAAGCACTTTAATTATTCAAGGCTTTATGGTCATGACATTTATAGATTAATTAATTTAGGTTTGTTTGATACAGTATTGTGATCAATGCTGGTATTTATTAGTTTCCATTTTTATCCAAATAATTTGTTCAAAACAAGTTGATGATTTAATTCATCTCTTATTTGCAAATTTAATAGAAATAGAATAAGAAAATTAAAACCACTGTAAACATAAAGTTAAATACCACATATCACATACTTGGTACACTTTAATAATTTAACTTTATAGACTTTATAAGAAAAAGAAAACATCTATAGATATTTCGGTAGCTTTAAAATACACAAAACTTTAATAAATGCAAAAATACGTCTTTGAAAATATTGATGAAATTATTTGATTGATTGATGGATATATTTTTTTTCAAACATTTTTTTTCCATTTATTTATTTATTTCTTCTCAGTGTCTTTTAATAAGGACCAAGTACATTTTTTCAAGTACAACCTCCTCTATATCTCTCTCTCTCTACACATAGATAAATATAAATATATACACACACACACATATCCTCAAAAAAGATTCCTCTGTTTTGTATTCTTCAAATCTTCCAAAGAGTACAACCACAACCTAATCATTCTTTCTGATTTAGTATATTTCTCAATAATTACCTTGGTATTTATTTTAATTTCCAAAAAGACATATATCACAACGACAACAACAACAATAATAATAATTTTCACTCTTTAGTTTCATGAAATAAAGAGAAGGAGAAGAGGGCTTAAGATTTTACAGATTTGACAATTCGTGGGCCGGGTGAATGAAATAAGCCCCTGCCGTGCCGGACCCGGTGCTGCTGAGCCAGGTGCTGCCGCTTCTCAGTGTCCTCTTCCTCCACAACAGCATCAGCTCTGTGCTCTGATGATTCTGTTGTTGGAAGGGAGGGCGGATTCTTCTGTTGCTGTCTTCCATGGATCTCATTCCGTCGCACCGCGTTTCACATTTCGTGCATTTTTTCACGCTTCCGAGGTTTTGCGGTTGTTTGCGACGTTCTCTTGTGTTTCTTTACTGGAAACCCTAAACGTGTGGTGTAGAGGGTAGAGGAGAAAGGACGAGTTACATTGCTCGATCATCGTTGATTTCGTTGGAGCTCTGGTGCTGCAGCTGTCTCGATTCAGCACGTTGGGTCTTGCGTGATAGCCGGTAAAATTTTGGTGGGGTTTTAGGCATTAAAGTTCACTTTGTTTCTCGGGGAAGTATTGTTGCTATCTCAATGGTTTTTTTTTTTTTTTTTTTTTTTTTTTTTTTTTTGTTTCCTGCTCATTTGGGACATGCTATGGTGCTTGGTTATTATTGCAGCGGTGAATCTACTCGTTGGTTGGTTTCGTAGTGGAGGAGAACGATGGGGAAAAAACAGCATAGCAAGGATCGTATGTTCATTACAAGCACGGAATGGAAAACAGAATGGGGAGGGGCCAAGTCGCGCGACTTGAAAACTCCGTTCAAACGCCTGCCGTATTATTGCTGTGCGCTGACGTTCACGCCGTTTGAAGATGCTGTTTGCACAAAAGAGGGCCATGTTTTTGATATTTTGTAAGTCCGTGCCTATTGCATTAGAATCAGGTTTTGTGTAAGTCTCAGCAAGGAGGTTTTGGGTATCGGGGTTTAGTTCACCCGATATCTAGGGTTCAGTTTCTGTCGAACGTTCAAGTGGAAAGTGAGTCTGGTCTTAGGCTGTTTGGTCCGAATTGTGCTCATTAGACCTGTTTCCGTCGCAGGAATATAATACCTTATGTCACGAAGTTCAAAAGGAATCCTGTAACTGGCAAGCCACTAGCAATCAAAGACCTCGTCAAGATCCAGTTTCACAAGAACGCTGACGGCGAGTATCAATGTCCAGTGCTTCACAAAGTTTTCACCGAGTTTACACATATTGTGGCTATTAAGACGACCGGGAATGTTTTCTCTTATGAAGCCATTCGTGAATTAAATATCAAGTCGAAGAACTGGAAGGAACTACTTACGGACGAGCCTTTCACTAGGGATGATATAATCACAATTCAGGTAGACATGGTTACCTGCTCCACTAGTCAATGGGATAAATTATTAGGGCTAGCAGTTAAATCTGCAATTTTTGTTGTTTCATAATGTTCTGGTTTTCTCTTGATGTGGTATGTATGTGATTACATGGAATGTAAGACTTTGTTTGATGCTGGTATTAACATTTCGTATATTATTATTATTTTTGTCCAGGACCCTAATAATCTGGATGCTAAGGTGCTGTCCGAATTCGACCACGTTAAGAAAGAAGTTGACCTCGATTCTGACGAGTTAAAACAACTTAGGGAAGATCCTGCATACGGCATAAATATGTCTGGTGATACGAAGCGCATTTTACAGGAACTGGGCACGGAAAAGGGTCGAGACATCGCCTCTAGTGGTGGCGGTGGTGACAAGACTCAGCGTGAGCATGCAGCTGCTGTTGCTGCTTTGAAAGCAGCAAAGAAGGTAGGAAAGCTGATATTTTTCTTCGTTTTTGCAGCACGCAGCTCAAGCGGATGGATTCTTGCCCAACTCTTTAGTCGTCATTCTTACTATCTCATTTGCTACATTATTGAAGCTATCTGATGTGTTACTCTATCGTTCTAATGGATATTGGGCTCTTGTCAACGTGGTTTCTTTTTAGAGGGCACAGGAAAATCCCGAAGAAGAAGAGAAGAAATTGCCTCCTAAGCCAGCACCATTAAGTATCGTAGATATTGCATCAGCAGCAATCAATGGGCGATCTGCTGCAGCTACACTTGCAGGCTCCGCAGAAAAGACTGCTGCACATGTTGCAGCTCATACAGCGGGCTCGCTTGCTCCCGTCAGCTCGAGATTGGTAATTAGAATTTGCTGTGACCCTGTCAGAATTGCTGGGCTGTCTGCCATGTGTTCCTTCGGTTTGCTTACTTGTCTAGCAGTTATACAACTTTGATTCTAAGCAAACCAGCCCACTCATTGGACATGTCTCGATTGTCTCACTTTTCATTGAGGAGTGTTCTTGTTTTATTTTTTACTTTTGACCTCATTTGATAAGAAATGCAGTCATTAAACAGTACCTACATTTAGGTGGTCTTCTTAAATTTTTGCGATTGCCAGCGCTTATACCAGTTGGCAATTTTTTTGATGGATTCAGGTGAAAAGCAAATATACATCAGGCGCAGCATCCCGGTCCTTCACGTCAACTTCTTACGACCCTGTCACTAAGAATGAATTTGAATATGTGCAAGCCGAGCGGAACCCCAAGAAAAAGGGATATGTTCGAATGCACACATCCCTTGGTGACTTGAACATCGAGCTTCATTGTGATATCACACCGCGGGCATGCGAGAACTTCATCACTCTCTGTGAGCGAGGGTACTATGACAACGTAATTTTTCACCGAAGCATTAAGAACTTTATGATTCAAGGAGGTGACCCTACGGGTACAGGAAGAGGGGGGGAATCCATCTGGGGCAAGCCCTTCAAGGACGAACTGAATTCTAAGGTGACGCATAGTGAGAGGGGCATTCTAAGTATGGCCAACAGTGGTCCTCATTCCAATGGTTCACAGTTTTTTTTCCTATACAAGTCTGCGGTCCATCTCAACTACAAGCATACTGTGTTTGGCCGAATCGTGGGTGGTTTGGATGTACTTTCAGCCATGGAGAAAGTTCCTGTTGATGATGATGACCGACCCTTAGAGGAGATCAAAATTTTGCGTGTTTCAGTATTTGTGAATCCGTACGCAGAACTCGAAGAAGAAGAGAAGAAAGCAGCTGCGGAGGCTGCTGCAAAATCCACTGATGTCGATGACGATGCTGAGAAACTCGGCAGCTGGTATAGTAATCCCAGCGCAGGTGTGGCGCCTCAGGCACATGGTACCGGTGTCGGTAAGTATTTGAAAAATATCGCAACACGGAAAGAAGCTGATCCAGTAGCCGTTGATGATGGTGCGAATGTGCCAAGCAAGCGGACAAAGATAGAGAATGGAAGCGGCGTGCAGTTCAAGGATTTTTCGAGTTGGTAGGGTCGATACGAATCAAAATCTGCATCTTTGTCCAACTGATTCAGATTGGGCAGTTGGTCATGTATTATACATTTGTAGAGCTTTGAAGAAGAGAATTTAGTTTTATCCGATCAACTTTCAAGAGTCTGTTTATGTAATGGATTATTATTGCCTGCGTATTATTTTCACTTGTGAGTGCCGCATTGTGAAGTGTCTTGATTGTGACAGTACGTTTACCCACTTATAACTCACATTTGGCCCTAATGTTCGCAGCCTCTGGTGACACCTCTGTTCTCTTCGATCGAAGCACACGCCTTATTCTCCGCTAACATTGTTTATCTATGATTGTGACGAGGCGTGAGAAATCAAACTAAAAGACATCGGGTATATCGTTTACAGAGTGTTTTGACGGCTGTGACGAAGTTGATGCCTACGTCATTGTTGGAATTTACGATAAAATTTGGATTTTACGGTAGCTTATTTCAGTGGTTCTGATAGATTTTGGACCAATTGTAGAAACAAGATTGCAGATAGCCCTATTGACAACTGCACATTTCGCAACGCAGGCTCACCCGGGCAACAAGGACTACTTCCCTCCCTCATTAAATGATTGATGTGTGCGGTTATAAAGAGATAGTGGAAATGTGAAAAGTGTCGGATCGTCTTTACTACCAATGTAAGGCAACTTGACGATACATGTTTGTAATGCATACTTCCTAAATCCTTTTACGATCCTCAGGCAAGAGAGTAAGACATGAGGACAGCATCGCAGTAAACATCACATTCTGAAGTAGCAAAATTTACATACTGGATATTGTGCCAGTTGAGGTCACTGCCGGCGGTGTACGTTCAGCATCCTATGTATACATCCTATGTCCGTAAACGATGTGATTAGGTGTAAATCACCTTATGAGTTGACTAGATTTCTCCCAAATCATTGGCCTCTAAGCGAACAAGTCAATCTTCCAAAAACATGCCGGCTGGTTAGTGCGCATCTTCTTGTCGAGAGAGCTGATGGTCTTCATATCGTCCTCCGATAACTGGAAGTCGTAAACGTCGAAATTCTCCTTGAGTCTCTCGACTTTGTTCGACTTGGGGATCACCACAGTATTGCGCTGAATTCCCCACCGCAATGCAATTTGAGCAGCCGTTTTATTATACTTCTTTCCAATGTCCTTCAAGACAGGGTCCTCCAGTGCAGAGGTGGAGCCGAACCATTCCACGTTAGAGGCTCCACCACCCAATGGTGTGTGCGCGGTGATTGAGATTCCATGCTTGAAACAGAATTTTACGAGAGAGTCACGTTGGAAGTAAGGGTGGGTCTCGATCTGGTTCACCGCTGGCTTGATCTTGGAGTATGCGAGGCAATCTCGTGTCAAGAAGATGTCGAAGTTACTGCAAAACCAACCGAAGGAAAACCACAGAAGCTTAGTATCGTTGTAGGTGAGAACTTAAATTTATGTGGACATAAAGATCAAATTATAGAACATTTAGCGCTGAAACATCAACGAGAAATAGAGTGGAATCGCCACCTGATACCAATGCTCTTGACAAGTCCAGCAGACACAAGATCCTCCATCGCGTGCCACGTGGTTTCATTCGAAATAGTCACATCAATATCCAGGACTCCATCGTCACCTAGTGCACTTGAGGTGGTACCCACACCTGAAAATGCGAACATCAAACAGCCTTGATCAGAATGCAGAAATAGATCGGTTTCTATTTCCTCTAAAAGAATGGTCAGGATATGGAGGTCAACTGGCGAGACGATTGAATACAAAAGGTAACAAGGTTGTCAAATAACAGACCTGTATGGCGAGTTGCAACAGGAAAGTGAACCAGGTACAGGTCTAAGTAATCGAGCTGAAGGTTCTTTAAACTATCTTCACATGCTTCCCTCACATGGCCGTGGTCACTATTCCAGAGCTGTCACAGTTGAAGTCCAGAGTGATACTTAGAACCTATGATAAAGGAAAGGCCCATTTAAGAAGAACGAGAAAAGCGTTGTCTATGATACAATAGCAAATTACGATATACAATCTTTTAAAACGAGTCGAAAGGCCACGGAAAAATGCAACTGAGAACCGATTGAGTGGAAGATGAGATGAGACTCACCTTGGTAGTGATAAACATTTCCTCGCGCTTGACCAAGCCCTGTTTGAAGGCATCAGCAAGAGCTGCTCCGACCTCCTTCTCATTGCCGTAGTCAGCTACACAACCACGTTCATCCAAACTTTTAAAAACCTACTTTGTTTAAAAAGCCATGTAGCATTGTCAACCTAAAATTTCCTGCCGAAAATGTGGCAGCTAGATCCGCGAGAATGAATTGAATATCAAATGTTGACCTCCGAGAAACCATACAAATGACTTCGATTTTACGACAAAGTTCCAAACAAAAGGTTAATTACCTGCACAATCAAGATGACGGTAGCCAATCTTTATAGCCTCCAAGATGACGTTGTGGATGACCCCAGGGTCAGCACGCCAGACACCCAAACCTACCATGGGCATCTTGTGCCCACTGTTAAGCGTCACCGTCTTCTGCTCCATGTTTTTCTTTCTGTGTCAGGAGAATGCAACGAAACCTTAAGTGGTATGCACGAAAATTCTTGAGTAATCATCAAGCGACAGAATTAGTGTCCACAGCCATAAATATCATTCACGGGTTAACTTTGTATCTTGTGGAATAAAGGGCTTGAGCTAAAATAAAGATAGCTCTCTGGAATTAGAATGCGCTAATCATCCAATTTCACAAGCTGGACTAACTCGAAAGCAGACACTAACAAAAATGCAGCACTGATCCATCTGACACACTCACAAACCCATCTCAATCGTAGCAGAAGACGCTGCTAAAACCGTTTTTACACGGGAAACTGCCAATGACACCAGAACCACAACAAACGAAACCTCCCATTCAGACACAATCACAAGCCAAGAGTTAACCAGATTTAAAACCAAACCAGCTCGGATTTGTGGTCTCAGCATTAATTTGTATGCTCAACGCATAACATTTATAGAACACGCTACGAAGCACTACAGCGATGAACCAACTCACTCTACAAGTTACAAAGCGTCGACTCACTACAGCAAATTAGTAATTCGTTCCAAAATAAAACTCATCGGCATAGAAAAAGATTCCAAGCACACAAGATTGAATTGGAGACCATCACCACAACCCATCCGTACTACCCGTCCACAATACCTTTTTTTATCGTCTACCGTATGCGAAACACGTACAAAACATCAACAAGAGATAACCCAAATCTGACAACTCCACGCTTCGCAAAACCGATCACCGATCACCTCAGCTCATCAACAACCACAACCACCGAAACGACAACCAGCACTCGCAACATCGAGCGCTCCACGTGCGGAGCTCACCTGCGGACCCAAATAGCCAATGACTCAACAAAGACGAGCCAAAGAATATTCACGGCGAGCCTCAGATCCTGAATAAAATTGAAACACACGTAGGTTTGAGGTGCATTCCAGCACCAGTATACTCGTATACAGGCAGCCCCACAAGTCAGATAAATACCCAAAGCACCGAGAAAGCCAACGTTATCCGCACATGCAAGCGAAATCACCACACACGCGTACAAACATGCACGCAGACCCACACAACAGAAGCCGAGTTAAACAAGAAGCTCTCCAATCCAGCGATCGATAGCAACAAAGCTAATGCCACGATGAGACCCCATAGCACTCTACCCGTACACTACACCTCGTGAACTCACTCACTATATTAGTACGACCTTCAAGCTCACCCGCTCCTCCTCGAAACACGGCAACAAAACTAGTAGCACGTCCAGCAGCAACAGAAGCTCCGGCAGAAGATTGGTGTTCTTCTCGGGCTCCTCGGTTCGATGGCTATGGCGAAGGCTCTCACCACAATTGCGAACAACGAGAGGAATTCGTGAATCAGCGAGGAACGCGAGCTGTAATAGGAAATGGACAGAGCGAGAGAGAAGATAGATGCCAGGCAGCGTGATCTGGTGTACAAGACGAGGAGGGCAGATTAGGCGCTGATCTCCGCGAAGGGGATAATTAGCAACAGGGGCATGATTGGAGTAGTCTGCGAGATCTAGACGGCACCGATGCGACGGCGATTTCTGTCATGGGCCGAGCTCTGCTTCCATTACTTTGCACTGCATGGAATATTCACTTGGCACCCAATATAGTATCTCGCATATGGTTCCACTCCTCCCTGTTTCGACGTGACGTCTGCCCTAACGTTGCTCATCAACATGCGACGTGGTCTTGCTTGAGGGTGACGTATGCCCTATCTCCTTGACCTTTACTTTGCCTAGAAACAAGTAGAGTTTTAGGTGTTTGAAGAAGAGTGTAGATTTAAAACAAAAATAAAGTAAAATGAAATTAAATTTGATTTTTGGAATATATTTAAAGCAGTAGAATAAGATGATTATGTAGTAGAAGTGTAATTTGGAAATTGACATGGCTAAATTAAGGATTTTTTTATTTTATTGTTGTATATGAGATATTTATATTAAAAAAAAACATGTTATAAATAATTGTCAGTTAGATGGAAGAGGATGTATCACAATAATTGGTGGAAAAACCACTTAAGTCTATTTACATGGATATATGATATAAAGATTGTTGAGGTATGCAACCAACATTGTAGTTCACTATCTTTTTGTATTATAGTTTTTTGTAAAAATAATAAAGTTGTTGTGTACATTAATAGTATAGCTTGTAGTTACTATTTAACTTCTTTTTTTTGTTGTATATATTGCAACAACTACATGATTTTATTTTAAAAGAAATTACTATTGGTTTGTTACATCAAATTTTTGTATGTTGAATTGCATATATATATATATATATATATATGTATTTATCAAATTTTAAATAAACAATGAAAAAACAAGAACATGCACAAGTCATATATACACATTCATAATTAAAACACCAACCAATTGTTGCATAGACTTTATAAATGTATAACATTAGTTAGTAATTTCTATTATTAAGATATTGCTTGCATTGATTTTTTTATATATATATTCATTCTATTAATGATGTGCTTTTAAAATAACACAAAGTATGTATCAATATCTCGGAGTACAAAATATCAATCTTGAATATTATAAGCATTTTTAATATTTAATCAATGTCTCAAATTATTATTTGTATGTTTTTATTTTTAGAATCATTTAGTATATGCAATAAAAGTCAACTTCATACTATCATAAAACTTGCTAGATTATAATTGCCAATTGGTTTGCTTCAAATGATCAAACAAAAGTATGATGTAATACATATATGTAATAACAAAGATGATAATAAAAAAATAAAACCTCTTAATTCTTTTTATATTTGTAATTAGAACAAAATATCAAGATAAATATTTCAAATTTAAAATTGTAGATAAAACATGATTTATTTTTAAAATTTAGAAATATATTGATCCAAATCTTAGTGATGCAACTTATATTTACACACTATGCAATCAAAAAAGAATATACTAAATACAAACAAACTTTTAATATGATGACTTATTCAAAATACACAATAAGGATTTTTTTTTTATTTTTTTTATTTTTTTATTTTAGGAAATTTAACTGAATTCTTTTTCATAGGGGCACAATATGTTTATAATACATAAAAAATATATAGAATGTATTAGAAGAAATTTCACAAACAATAGAATCTATAGATTAAACTAATGTTATGTAAATGAAATATTCTAAAAATATATTTTAGAGATTATTTACACAAGGACTAAAGGCAGTTATTCGTTACAAATACAAATACAGATGAAAAAATAAATAAAAAATAAAAAATTGATGTACACTGTTGATACAACGTGTGTTGGAACCGGACATTGTGATATACCCATGGAGTTGACATCCGGTATGACATGATACCGCATCGATCGTCGGCGGATATCTAACTAAACCTTGCGTTTGTTTTTGGAAGCTCAAGTGCATTCGTGGGGGAAGGGAGGGGCCCTCAAACTGATTGCGATCATGCTCTTCAATGTTTGCGAGAGGTTTTCGTTTCGCGTCGTGGACGCGAGCAATGAAGAAAATCGAGCGTTTCACGAAGGAATCAAGCACATTGTCGAGGAAGTAGTATTTAGAATTACGATCACTTTCGTAGTTAGTTGGAATTTTCTGTTGCAGGGAAGACGATAGGGGTCGCGAGGGAGAGATTGAAAGAGTCGTGTCGAGGCTTTGTCAGGAATGAAAATGAGGAAGATATGGCTTAAGATGGCTCCCTTGCTATGGCCTGTGGCGTACGTGCAAGTGCAACGCAACTTTCCGCGGTCTGTTCCTTCCCTCACCTGCGCGGTACACAATGCACCTGATGAGACTCGCGGTACATGTGAGAAGCAAAGGATCTTTTGGCACGCTCTACGAGATTGCCGCTACATTAATTTACCACCGACGGCAGAGGCTGAAGAAGGTGAAGCCGGATCAGAGTTATTGGAAGAAGAGTTCGGAGAAAACGAAGATAGTGTTGGCACTTGGAAATCTGAAGAAAGGTTGTTTGATGCGACTGCTGCAGACCGTAGGAAAGAACAAGGAGTAGTTGCGGACTTAGACTGGTTGAGGTTGACGGACCGGGAGCTTCAGGTGCATTGCAGAGTGGAAACTCTACGATCCTCTGGTCCAGGAGGACAACACAGGAATACAACTGAAAGTGCCGTGCGACTGCTACATCTACCAACTGGACTTGTGTCATTCGTAATACTCTGTAACATGCCTTTAGTATATTAGACCTCTTGCATCTTCAAATTTCAGAAATGCATTCATTCCCGTCATCAATGCGCGGAGGCGGTAGTTCATGCGCCGCAGGAATGGATAAAACCCTACCAAGTCGCTGTAATGTGTTTGGATCGACGTGTTTGCGGAGAGTTGTTTGTTTACGCAATTTTACACTCACCCAACCTGTTGACATTTGACAGGCAGCAGAGGACCGGTCTCAACATAAGAATCGAGCCAAGGCTTTTAAGAGGTTAAGGGAGGTGATCGCCTTGACAGGTGACTGCGTGTTTTGTTACATGCACAGTTCCTTATTTCTTGTTCAAATTGGAGTAGTTTGTTTTGTCACTCTTTTCTTTCGCCTCAGTCTAAAGCCCGAGTATTTTTTATCCTTCTGAAATTTTAGGATGTGGTATTTTGTCTTTGGTATGGCTTTTTGGTAGTTAGGCGGCCCTTGGAATTGAAGGACTACAAAGCTCCACCTGAGCTGATGCGTATACTGCCCTCCAGCCCTCAGACACGAAGTAGGAGAGGGGGAGGCCAGCAGATTGGCTCAAATCATGTTGATTTTGTCCTGGTTGGCTTCCTCATCTATCTATTTTATCTCATGTTTTGCTGTCCAATCCAGCCTGTTTGAATGCTATTTGTTTAAACTAATTTATTTTTAATGTATATTGCTCTGTTTCGCATATTTTTCAGAAAATTAGCGCCCCTTTGTTACAGTCGGTAGCATGAGCTTAGTAAACTGACTACAGATAATCGTGTAAATGGCTCTATTACAGGGGGTTCAGCCTTTGCTTGACTTGCTCGAGGCTACGAAAGGCTCCATCTCGGAATGTGCTGCAATTCTTGGGTAATTGATCAGTCAAATTTGATCCTTTCACTAGATCATGCAGTTTCAGGCTCATATAGGCTATCATGCGTGAATCGATTTTCTTCACATTTTATCTAACAAGATTGTTTTGATTGGCAGGCTAAGCACTGGAGCGCTTTCAAGACTTATAGTATCAAACAGGGTGTTATGGAAGGGAGCCAACAATCTGCGAGCAGCTCATGTACGATTTTGCCACTTTGACCTCAACTAGCTACTGCCATATGTATGTTACAAGGACAAAGGTGCAAGAAGAATAGTGAGGCTGAATTTGAAGAGGTTGCTACGAGGATATTGAGGGGATATTTTACAAGCAATAGAGTCACTAACTTATTCTGTAACTTCAAATTGCAGAATTTGAAGCCGCTTCGGGGAGATTGAATTTCTCTGCCTTGCTTGGAGGATAATCTGTATCAAATCGTGGGCTAGGGACTTCCTGATAGACTTTTTCCTTGGCATGATACAACTGTATAATCGTGAAATAGACATCCCTGAGGTATTGTACGTCTGTTTTGTGTGAATTTTGTATATCCCTCTCATGAGATAGTAATTCTAAATCGAGACACCTTGAAATATCATTGTGAGCATCAAATGAGGACTCCGAACATCCATGTTATAGTCTCTAAACGAGACTTTTCTTTAAAATGCACGTCGTTTTGATGACCTCTGGCACTTATCTGGCAAACTCTGTCTATTTACAATTTACTCCCACCGCATATGGGGCGCTTTTAGCTTGTTAAGATGTTTGTTAGGGATGCTGTGACCTGCATTGTCAGCGAATTTGCTGAGGATCGTTTGAAGTTTGGTGGCAGCGGGAGTGGTGGCCTACAGTACATCGATTCATACACAAAAGCTGGCCTCGCCTATTGTGGAAATTGCTACATCGATGTCGTTGCACCCTACTGATTATTGTTTGTAGGTATTGCCTCTTAAAACTTTTTGTTTTTTTGTTTTTTTCCCCTTCTTTTGTCTCCTTTATTGTCTTCTTTATGGTTTTATTTTAATGATTTTTTCTATTTGAGTACTCTCATCTTTCTATGTCTTTGTAAATTTCGTTACAAAAATTCATATCAGACTTCAGCACATCATTTCCCCTATTTGTGATGTGAGTTCATCACTGAGAATACGATGTCATTGTTCTGTTGCAGTGTAATATTATTGAATTGACCCCATGCCGTAGTTCATTTGCAACAAAAGGGATGCATGGCAATCTAATTCCTCGCAGAATCTATCAACCACAGGTTTTGGAGTGATTGCAGAATACTTGCTCAACGTAACTTACGCTGATATGCTTTAAATTTCGAACTGCGTGTCGCAGTTGTTTTAGGGAGAAATCCATCTCAGTAACAAAGGTTCCACGTGGAGTAGAAAAATGGTTCTCTATTCAATGCACGGGGAATTTTACTTCCCAATGGCCGGCATTGGCCCTCCTGGAACCTCAGTAATGTAACCCTTTATTTCTTCCCATGCATCTGTTTACAATTGAAACAAATTACATTAAAATTATAAGTAAATATATTTGTTTGTTACTAACTTTCAACTTGCCTTCTTCAGAAGTGCTCATGCCGGAGTGGTTATCGGGCATGACTAGAAATCATGTGGGCTCTGCCCGCGCAGGTTCGAATCCTGCTGAGCACGTCCACGACGAGTATTATTTTGACGTGATTGCACGAGGAAGTGTCTCGAAGAGTGTCGATTGCTTTTTGGATAACTTCCAGTCCGAGCTGCAGCTCTGCCGGATTGTGACAGATGAGCGATGCACCATGAGGAATTCAGGTTCGTGTGATGACTGATTTTTGGTTATAATTAGTAAAGCTTAGTGATTGGTTGGTCGATGTAATTAGCACTCAGACAAAAGAATTTTATCAAAGTCGACGTAATCAATGCGACGTTAACCACTGTACCCAAGCTCGCGATGAAATCACCAGAGATTCACACAATCGATGTGAAGCGTTGTGATCCGGCAGCAACCCCACATGCCACCTCATCGACGACTCCATCAGAGAAGTCCAAGGCTGCCGATGGAGCCCAACATTCCTCAGCATACACGCACAACCTGACATCCTCGCTCAGCTGTTTTAACTGTTCAGCACTACTCACTGGGCTTAAATTACGTATATTTTAGGATTAGATCACGGCATTTTAGGCAGATATTCAGTTTTGGGTTGCGTTAGCGAATCAGTAAAAGCTTCAGTTTTCTAGGCTTGTCGCCTGCGTGATTACTACAATTAGGAATTCTTTCGAAACGAATTACTGGTACCATTCATGTGTGCAGTACCGTAAGAATCAAACAAGTATTGATCAACATTTGCTTCATGTATGATTGGTTGCTAACAAATCTTTAGTCAGTTATTTATGCACAAATAAGCAAGGGAGTTGATGGAACTAATACAACTTAAATTAATATTAAAAATAATACAACAATATCAAGAGTTCTTTCATCAGTTCTACCATTTTTGTTATGCTTCTTTTAAATTACAATAATAGGTATGTACTAACTGAATCTGAAAAACCACAAATAAATTTGAAAGAACGGAAAAAATAAAATCCAAGTTTAGCAAAAATAAATATTAACTACGTTTAACTTTAACACCTTAGGTCGGTCGGGTATATTATAATGTACACAAAGTTCAAGCTGAACAAGTTTTTGACTAGGTGTACTCTCAGCTCTTTCCAGACAAACAGGAATGCTTTGAATCTTAGCAGTTCTGTAAAATAAGACGCAATACGGCGACTTAAACAGGACTTGTATCGCTGCAATCAGGCCACCTCATTGGGGCAACTGTTTCACAATTTTGTTGGCCGTGAATGTAAACCTGTGGTGCCAAGATCTGCACAACATAGTTCAAATGCAGTTTTCGTTCAAGAAGCATATAGAAAACATACAAGGTTCGTGCTAGGGGACATCTGATGACATAGAGGTTGGAATAATTCCGCTAGAATGGAGGTAGACTTCAAAACCAAGTAAATCACTCTTTAACTTCTAAGAAGCACAGTACTGGTGGATGAAGTGATGAGATATGCCATGGATTAGAGATGAAACTATGGAGTGTAACTTAGGAGTGCAGTATTTAATTTTCTGAACAGATGATTATGGTATTGTATGATGACAATAATGGTTCGGTTAAACAGGAGATTGGTCCACAGTAGTCTCCAATGAAGAAAGACTGCAGAACGCACCAAGTGAATGGGAGAGACGATAGATTTTTGAAGCCGTACGCCAGCAAAACCTGGAATAGCTGCCAATCTGTTATAACCAAATACCTCGGATTTAGCACTGCACATTCAATATCACAACAGTAATCAAAAGTCAGGATTCATACAATACTGCAGTTTAAATTGCAATGGATACTGATAACCTCTCACTTCCAAATGGTTGACCATCAACTGTCCAGCTTAAGCGTCAGATCAAGGAGGTTCAAATTTTTATGCGTTAGAATCTCTAGCCAATCAGACAAGCGTAAAGGCCATAATTAAACCAAGGGGGACACAAATAACAACCACTCTCAGAAGTCGATTAGGAGAATCCAAATCTAAACTACACTTACCTCAGCAAATACGTAAAGTTCCCATTCTTAAGGTCGTGCTCTGAGAGGTCTTCTTTCTTGGAATAACTGTCACCACAAGAAAATCAACGAAATCTGCTTGTAATTTGGGTTTAAAAGTAAAGTCGCTTACATTTGAATAAGGCAATGTATGCAATAAGATGCAGGGATAACTTCACCTCAGATTCAACAGTTCCCATGGAGTTGCTGGACATTACAAGTGCTTATTACAACTAGTACCTCATTGAAACTTAATCACTTACTAAGAGAGTAAATTAGGCGTTTCATGCACAGGAAGTCCATCCATTTTGAGTACTCCTATGGGAAGTTCCAGAATGTCAAACTAAAAACTTCAGCTAGGAAGTACCCATGTGTGAAAATGACTACTATAAGAAAGAGCTCTTATAAATCATGATGTCACAACCAGTTAGATGATAACCTCCAAGGGAAGTCTCGCTCCAAAAACCGTGAGACACCAGTCATTGCCGGCAACACGTCAATGTGCACCGTCTTTGGTGAGGTAGTCAGGTCTGTATAAAAGGTAATATGCTTCAGGCTCAGGTTGACCCGTTACACGCAAGAAATACTACTAAAAATACTGTGCACAACTCAAAGGAAAATAACTACTATAAAAAAAATCACACGGATAAACTTCTCCACAGATATTCTGATACTTGCGGCAACCACTTAACATCTTTATACGCATGTGTTACCTTTGTTGTGAAGAAGCTCAAGAGCATGACCTCCAGGGTAATTAGCATACGAAGCAGACGACATTATCAAGGAAGCACCAACACTGCCAAAAGAAAATAAAGAAAATGAAGATTTTAAAAATAAAAAAACAAAGACGTACATTTTTCAAGCAAATAATTACCTCATTTCGCACCAAAATACACTACAGGAAAGTCGCATACTGTCAATATTCAGATAAGTATACAATGAACAGAGTAGAGCTGTGAAATAGTACGGTGAGGTTCAAACATAACCATGGTTACCTTAGCACTAACAGTAAAAAACATGATCCATAGGCAAGAGTCCACATAGGCTTCCGCCTGTTATTGTATCTGTAATCATAATCATCTTCACTTAAAAAAATGCAGAGGAGAAGTATTATATACACAACCAAATCTCTTCGATTAAACGGTACCTTATAAACCTACACAATTCACCAAAACAACCGAGGCTTATACAACATCTGGACATTTTGTGAGTTGAATGTATTTTGGTAATCCAGAAGTTTGCCAACGCAACAGCACGTGGAGCCTCACAGCTTGAAAGATAAACGGGAAAACAGGACCGTTTCGTTCAGTGCAGTGGGAAAGAGTATAGAACATACATTCGAGCAACAGTAGACGCTGCAGCAACATTCAGCATCGGCACTGCAAAGAGAATAAATCGAAGCTCCTGACAACCATTAAAGATAGAAAGATATAGTTCAGTACTCTTGCCGAAGGTTCATCTACATTCACTAATGAAACAAAAAAGTTATGAATGACCGATGATCGTGTTTGATAGGTTGCTCACATCCTCGTAACACGTGATAAGTTGAAGCCACAGGGTGATCAATGAAAAATTGAGTATGTACCTTGTGAGGAAGCTTAGAGTACATCATTATAAAGCTTAGTATAGGAAGCACATATTGTGCAACTCTTCTTTCTAAGAATAAGCCAGCCTGCAAGAAGTAGACAAACCCAGTACTCAATAAAAAGCAAGAGTAAACATAACTTCGAGGGTGAAATTCCATGCACTTTGAGCAAACTGACATTAGACAAACCTGATCTAAAGAACATAACTCATAAACTATAAAATAAAAAGATGCAGAGTCTCGCACAATAGATTATTTAACTTGATCCACCGTTAAAGAGAGGAGCGTGGCAAATGGAAGTCATACCAAAGATAACGGCATTGCAGCTAACATTGCTCGTGGTAGCGCTGAAGTAAAATACCAGTGTACGGGCGACACCTTTCCCAATAGGTTAAAGGAATAAAACGTGAAGAGAACTTACAACAAATGAAGATTCTTAAAAATATTTTTATAGCAAGTCATATTCAAAATTGATGTATTGTGCAGGATACCCCCCATTCTGTGCTACGATTTAACACAGAATTAAACCACAGGACTTGAAATTCGGGCCAAATCCACTGCCGCCACACCACTGAGTCCAATCCACATGTCACCGCTGCACAGCATAAAGCCCTTATTGAACAATCGATCGTTCCCCTCATACCGCTTCGAAGAAGCTCATACACATGTTCAAATGAAAAAACCACCAAGATGCTTTGATATTATCTATTCTATGGTATTTCTTGGCATAAATGACAATCATTATGCCTGAATCTATATTAATTAGTTCTGACTTAGAACAATGCTCCACGTGTAACATACCACAACATGAATCATACCATATAAATATTGTTCTGTTATTCCTACAAGAAGTTGGCCTCTGAGGATGCATGCTTTAACAGTAGAGAGCATTTCACGCAGGAGAAAGACATACCTATGCTTAACACGGCTGTAATTGCACAAGATCTGAACGCACCCCAGAAGGTAACGGATCCAAGCTGCCACCCACAAGAACCACAACCAATCTGCCACTAAGAACCAAACTTGAACAATAACATCTGTTTTGATTGATACAAGAGCACTAAGGGAAAGTTCACTAAGAAGAATACAGAGAGCAGACAGACTCTCCCAACAACAATCAACTTGAGAAACAAATTCAGACGCTCATATGCTGCGAACTAGGAAAGCACCATCAGAACTGTTATATTGTACATACCCACAAAAGTGTCAATCCAACGGGGGCGAGAAGCAAAATGGCATCACAGCGGAAAACAAGTGTCGTGAAAACCTGCACACTAAGTCACCAGCAGAGTGAGCTGAACTCAACAGAGTCTGATGAATGATGATGATAATCGCCAGGTGACTTAGCAGCGTAGATGCCTCTGATCTTAAACAATACAACCTTAAAACAGCACAAGTGAACTGAAACACAACACAACGCCAAATATTCAACGTGCTGAGATCAAAATTTGCTATATTATTTGCCAATTTCGGAAGCAAGAGATGCGCCTAATGTACCAAGAATCTCAAGGTGTTTACAGGCCGCCCTCGCATCCAAGAAGTGAATGCCAGGTTAACTGCGTGGTCAAAGCATCCAACAGGTTTCCGTAGCATCAGTGCATGCACTTGTGAGAATAGTCACCTAGCATAGTTTGAACTTCCTAGCAAAAAATCAAAAGGAAAAACAAGAAGTACTGTACTCAATAATTGTTCAAAACTTTTAGAAGTGCAACCTCTATGAAAATATGCTCAAAAATCACAAATGAACGCATGCCGACCAGATTAATGCAGGGACACAGAGGATATTTTTGAGCTGAGCCGAGAGATTGAAAAATTTAGTCTTAAACCAACGATGCAAGAGATGCTGAACGTAGTTTCCTACCTACCAAGAACTAGAGCGAACACGTTTGGAAGAGGCCGAGATGCATAAAATAGAAGATGAAACTGTGTCGCCGTTATTATAGCAAAAGTCGTAGATACTTCGTTGCCGAATTCCCTTTTAACCTGTAAAGAAGATACCACTAAAATTAAACGATTTACCCAGCACACGCTTGAAAACCCAATTGTTATCACGCTGAAATAAGCACCTATTTGCAACCGAAAAATGTCACTTGGCCTTAGGAGTTAAGCTGGAGCATCGTTTAAGGTCACAATTTGTTAAAGCGGATGCTAATCAAACAAAAGCAAGAAAGATGTTCATAAGCACGTTTAGCAGTTCGTAGGGTACCTGCGCACGCAGAGCTGATAGGGAACCAAGTACTGTTGCTCCAAGAACCAAACGTACTGTATCCAAAGAGATCTAAAAGCTTCAGAAATCAACACTCAGAGACCCTAGACCTACACAGCAAAGAAAATTTAACGAGGTACCAATGAAATATAAACTTGAAATATGAAAATAATAGGATGACACAGAATGAGTCGCTACATTTATTGAGTACATAATGCTGAAAAACGCTCTCAATGAACTATCTCGTCCGTGATTAAGTGAGTTACCGGTGTAAAGGGCATAAAGCTTTGGTAGATGCAGAAGATTAAGGACCAAAACCACAGGAGCTGATATCACTGCTATCATTAGTGCCCCTGGCACATATAATTATATGAGTTACACAATAAATTCAAACCACGATCTTTACCCGTTTAAAGAAACTTTCTCACGAGTTGAAGTAAAACAATTCTATTTTGCAGGTAGTATCCTGCAAGTCTCAGATTCTTACAGACTGTTACGCAGTTAATCACCTTCTGCGCGAGAATAATTACTTTCATTCTTACACATACTCATGGCCTTCGCTAGTGGCAGACGTGACCATACTACTGATTAGCATTTCAGAATTATGCACACTACAAATCAACAATGATCCTAACTAGAGACTTAAGAAAAAGTGCCCTTAAAACAGTTTGAGATGTCAGATAGAGTATACCGAGAAATGTGCGAGGCACTACTCCTGGGAACTCAAAATGGTCGTACTGAAAACACAAGTTGGAAGTAAATCACGCAGCCCATAATGTGCGCAGAAATGTTACAAGAATCCAACCTAGTTCGTCACAAAACAAAAGACTACCAAGCCAAAAGATAATTTCATCGTGCAGATGGTCTGAACAAGCTGTAGTGAAAATTTTCCAATGATGTGACTTACCTTTTCAAGATGATGCCGATGAAACAAGAAGTCATGCATAGCCTGCAGCAAGCGAAAAAAGTTGACGTAACCACAACGCAAACGTGAGGGTAGATGTTCAAGAAGTACAACAGCCCAAAAATAAAATAATACATGCTCTTAGGTGGTTCCATAGTTCGTTTCTGGCCATGTACAATGTTTTCCACCATACCTGAGTATTGAAACTTTCTTCCACTTTTGTATAAGGGGCCATATAAATATGGAACACGGCAATAGCAGCGACTAAAACGTCCCATTCTGCATTAAATTCACCTTCTGCAGACTTAGTATAGCACTCGCTCTAAATCACAAAAACTTGAAAACCTAAGTAGATCCCAACGAATTAGGTCCGGTTCGATAATTGCTAAGATTATTGGTGCTGAAATTATAAGCAGGTGTTTCTAAAATCACTGGTGCTGAAAATCGTAGTCAAAGGCTGTTTTGAAGAGTTGAAAGCACAGGAGTCTAGATTTGACTATCCTGAAGTAGTGACTTTCACTATGGACGTGGCTACGGGTCTGCAGTGATATGAAATCTCCGCATTACAGATAGATGACCAGATGAAAGAAGTGGTGAGATCTTGCAGTAAGACAAATACAGGCATACAAGCTTGAAAACAAGCTGGAATTTTCCAAAATCGATGATAAAAAAAGCTACCGAGCTAGAGCAAAAATAATATATAGAGAAAAACAGACTCGAATAATCATCAGATAGCGATACGCACGACGTGCGAAATTTCTGAGACTACAACCAGCATTTCAGAGTTCGACTCGCTCCGATTCTGTTGAATTACAGGTAAAGTGGGCGACCAAATAGCGCAATGAGCTCCACAGTGCTATAAAGGGAGCCACAAAATGATTACAATTGCGCAACGCCACATGACTCTAGAAATGACAAAATGATTACAATTGCGCAACGCCACATGACTCTAGAAATGTCAGATTTTCTTATTAAAAGGCCGAAAATAATATAGCTACAACCAGCATTACACTAAACAACTGCACAAAACGTCAAAATTGCTGTACAAAACACATTTTCATAAACCCAAAATCCTATACTAATTACAAATTTAGTGGCACTACAACTCAAACGCCACTCTTGCCTCGGCGACATAATCATGTAGCGTACCATTCAAAGCATAATACCTAAGAATAGCTTCACACCACTTGTAGTTATCAGGCATTGGTCTTATAATGCCTTATCACCATAATTTACAGAAAAATCGCGTGATTTCGGCGATGGCACCACATTTCATTCAATAGAATTAAATAAAATAGAAATCAAGAAATATCTGTAAACGAAGATTGCAGCAACGTGAAAGCTAGGAGAGAGCCGAGAAATTAAGTAATTCAGAAATCAAGCCACACTTGGAGCTATAACAAAGCAAAAAACAAAAAAAAAAAAACCCCCGACACAAGGTATTCAAATGTTAGCCAGGGAGAAGAGCTTTAGGAAACTGACTGTCAAAACGCGATGCGAGCTTGCGGAAAAGCATGGTGGTTGGCGAAGCATCAATCTTGTCTCCTCAATTCTTCGGCGCAACGGAGGCAGAGTGTGATCTCGTCTAGGTTTGATCACAATGGGCTTTGGCACAGCCCCAGACAAGCAGCTCTGCCATCGGGGAAGTCCAACTCAGCATTATTTTAATGCGAATACACGTCAGCTCATTTTCATTTCGCGCCATCTTCCGCAAGGACCTCACTTTTGCAATTCGGGCGGACTTCATCTACGTTTTTAATTGTTTGCATTCCACGATTTTCCATATTTGTTTCCACCACAGGCCTGATAATACTTTTTCTTCAACACCGTTGCAAGTCTCGAATTAGTGTGCCCACGTACTGACCAGTATGAATGGAAGCAGCCATGGTGGGAAGGTGTATGGATTATAAGCGAGCGGAGGAGCATGCTCATTGAACAGCACGTACCAGAATTAGCCCCTTCTTTAACCCTCAGAGCTTACAGAGTATCGTTTCATTTCTGAACATTTAATAAGTTAAAAGCAATCCAGTGCCCAATTTCTTCCGTTTGGGCCATAGCTCACTGGCTCTACTGGTGGAAGCGGCCAGAGTTTTTAGATAATCGTGGTGAGGCTTAGTAAATATGCCAGTTATATTTGAACTAGTTAGTAGATTCTGGAGGTGGAACCTTTGGATTGAACAATATCTGCATATCCTAAAACTTTCAGTTTCAGTGTGAGATATGAAGCCTCCGTTTATGACACGTGCAGGGCACTCCGACCATACTGAGAGAATAAGGGCAGCCGTGAACAAATCTGGGTTGAGAGAAATATCCAATTAAATGAAGCATTGTGCAGAATACACCTGCTTAGATTCAAGAGCTATTACTGTGATTTGAGGGAGGATGAACTAAGATTTGACAAAAGAAATCATCTTTTAAAAACACACCTGAACCTTGCGACACACTCACAACCTGATCTACAACTATTCTTAAATAAGGAACTCAGGATACCTGCAAATGTGCTTTTATTACTTTAAAATTACTGTACAAATATCGCCAAGAACACCTCGAGTAAACACTTCCCTCGTTTAAGCAGCCAATCCTCCCCTCCGCCAAGGAGGATACTCTGGGCCATACTGGGTTCTTGCATCACCTGACACAAACTCCTCCTCTAAGCCGTAGTCTTCACCGAAGTACTGATCAATCAACATATTTGACATAATTCGCAGTTCTTCGTTAGCATGAAATTGAAGCTCCTCCATAGCTGCAATGCCATCCAATTTCTCAACAAGCTTTGGCCCTTTCCCATCAGGTAGTGCTCGCATAACCTGCACAACAAAGCCCACGAAATGAAACTCTTCCAAAGAACCTTTGCTGGTAAAGTGATGGCTTGGTTATTTGAAGACATGGCATCATTAGGTAATGTATTTTCATTACCAGCTCTAGGAACTGCAACCCCAGTCTAGCAGATTCTAGATCGGGAGATTTTACAAGAGCTATGAAGCCCATGAGGCAGCCTCGGTCCACCAAAACATTCAAATGCTCCAGAATAGGTTTCCCTTCTTCTCCTTGATCACGCGGAGCCACACATAAGTTCCCCAACGCATAAGCTGCCTCTTTCCTAACGTCAAATGTTGACGTAGCAAGAAGATATAGAAGTGGAGAAACAGCCCCTCCATTGAACACTGCTCGTTTGTGCAAGATGGAGCCTGCCGCCAAGTTAGATACTACCCAAGCGGCTTCCTGTAGCCAAATCAGAAGAATACCAGATCCAGATAAGTCTAGCTGTATGAACTACATTGTTACCATTACGACATATTGGTATTGTGTCCTTACTCTGTTCCAGCTTCCACTCTTCACTTGCATAAGTAAACACGATCAACTAGTAAAAAGATTGTTAAAACCACTTGGACATCAAGTGAAGAAGCCATATATGTGCTATAAAAAGAATGTGCCTAAAATGATAACAAAGAATATTCAGTTCTCAAGATAAGATGAGATCGCAAAGAATGAAAATGCACCTTTTGTAGAGTGCGATGCTCAGTCTCCAAGATTCTTGCTAGGGCACCATTGATCCCACCTGTTCCAAGGCATACTTCAGCTAATACATCCTCGGTCATCACAGATACTATCATGGCTTGATAATGATGGAGACGCAGCAAAAATTTAATAACAAAAAGACAAACTGCGTTGAAGGGTGAACAAAAAGGTGGGAGGATCTTATGCTAAAATTCTGTTGCTAGGTTCGAAGACGTAAGAAAGTCATAAACTGGGTATTGCGACATACGCCTGGAAGACTTACCTGGAAGAGACTGGCCAGCGGCTAACACAGCATCGCACTTCGAATTGTCACTGGCTACAATGTTACCGATGGTTCGTAGAACCTTCACATATCGATTCCAAAGATCCATCTCAGACACAACCATAATAAGACCAATAGATACGTTGGTATAAGGCACATCTTTACAAACAAAGAGAGGACAAACAATCAATCGAGCAGTGAAAACAAAACTGACCAAAATACAACTAGACAGTCACAGAACTAAAACTTGGGGTTAGAGACGATGTACCGGTGTGAGTAACGGTTGATGGTGGGATACGGCCAGGCGAGCCACAAGGGGCGGGAGAAGACCAGCATGGATGAGTTGGCTTGAATGTAGATCTGACATAGATGTCACATAGACCAAAACCCACGCAACTTCTACAACCAATTCGTCATCCCTGGACGATATATAATAACATCACCCGAGTTATGGATAACACAAGGAATAGGGCGGATACTAATAGGAACTTATGCCGGTCTCGTGCTTTGGAAAATTAGTCCTGCTAAAATCTTGATGTCTTTAATCACAACACAAGACCAAGACGTGTTCATCACATCAATGACTGTTTATTCACTGAACGACAAGATGCACAAATGCAATGAGACGCGAGATGATGGCAACTATAATAACCAAATCTGATGGATGAATCTGCAGTATTGCAGACTACTCCTCGCAATAAAGTCGGAAAGAAGACAGACTTCGAACGAGCAATGTGAGAGCATAATAAACTACATAACGTCGAAGAAAAATACCCATTTGATACGAGTCGAACAAGAGTGTCAACAATACCGTCCATCTTCATGAGCTCTGTCGCTGCTCTGGAGTTGGGTCCCTGCAAGAAGACCACGACCATGAACCCACAATGTATCCAGCAATGATGGAGGCATGAATGAAATAATCATTATCCATGATCTCAGCAGACGATTTTCTTGAGAGGGACGAGGATTGAAACCTTAAAGCACAACGACAACCATAAGCACACTAAACGTCTGTCCTTCGCTACAAAGCACAATGGGTGTATTATAAAAGAAAATTACCTTAATAAGATTAGATAAAGCCCAGGCAGCTGTGCGAACCAGAGTGATAATGGGGGAGGAGAGATTCCGAGCTAGCGCTGAAAGGGCGCCTTGTCGTAGTAACCAATCGCGTAGATCTTCCGCTTCGCCGGCTACATTTCCTAATGCCCAAGCACACTGCTCTACCACTCGGGCTGGATTCTTCTCTGTCCTCAAAAAACCCACACAGTACAAACTTTAACACCCACTCTCTTAAGCCGTTACCATTGTAAACCCAACTATTCCAAATCCTTGGAACAATACAAAACCAGTTGTCAGATCACTGATGCTCTATAATTAAAGAACATTATACTGCAAGATAAACAACCGAGAAGCTTGCCAAGGAATTGTTATCATGTATCATGTCCACACGAAAAAAAATAAGTGTTTAAAAAAACAAATTCAAGCTGTTCTAATTTGTAGAACCTGGAATTCTTCGTGAGCAAATGCCCTTCCTATTCACAACATCGAGGGATTGCAGATAAAACTAATGCCAAAATGTTTATTAGAATTTCTCAATTCAATTCCAGTATTTTGAACGCAGTATGCATCGCACAACACTTCATAAGAGCAGACTCTGACCTCCAAGGTGAAGGATAAGAAGAGGCAAAGCTGGCTCCACAGCACGTGTTTGTTCGGGATCTCCAGAAGCAATGTTTGTCAAACACCATGCTGCCTCAAATAGCTGCCAAACATACCACAAACAATCAAATCGAAATTTAAACATTACGTGCAATTAAAAGCATTACTGACATCATCACTTTGGCAGAAGCGAACAAGCAAGTGTACACTAAAGACGATTAACTTCAGGTAATTATTACAACATTACTATGGTACGAGTTCGGAGCTTTACCTGGTCCTCAGATGCACCGAAACCCAGACAATCAACAAGGAGAGGCACTACACCAGCTTGCACAGCAACATGAACAGGTGGATATGCCGAGCACGACAGTAGCCGCCTCAGAGTCTGCAAAGCCTCCACTTTCTTTGGAGTTGCTTTTTTACCTCTTCATGAAGCCACAACAAAGGTTGTCACTCAATTTGAACAAGGACAATAGGATCCCTTCACAGAACTCACAGAGATTTTCAGACCTCCAAAATCCCAAATCACTCAACTAAATTCTCTGTCTGCTATGACATGCGAAAGATACATAGAGACTGTAATAGACTCAACACTTTACCTTTGCTTCTCCATTTTCGGTAATTACTGAATTGCAACAATAACACCAGCTTACAGACCTAACAAAAAAAATTGTTTGATGGGAACTCGGGTTAAAATCTGGGAGATACATGTTTTTGAGGTTGAGGACAGCAGCAGCAGTGCTGTCTTCAAGGAGTTTGTAAGCAACGTCGTCATCTGCGGCAACTGCAGCAAGCTGCATGGCATCACCATCCCCATGATCTGCAGGGTCTGCTCTCCTCAGCCGCTTCGCCCGCACGACAGAATCCCGTCGATCCTTCCCAATAGTGATAGCTGCTTGTCGTCTCCTCTGTCCAGCGCCTTTCCCCACTGCACAAAAACACCCATTCACACCATGTCAAAAAATCAACATTCAAAGCTGGCAACCAAAGAATAATTCAGCATCACTCGATTATCTGTGTCTCATTCCAGTACACCCAAAGAAGACTCATATGACTCAAAAAGAAAACTGAGATCCTCATCCAATCATCACATTAGTAATCGACAATCCTCAGACAATCCGCAGCGCACTTGAGGAGAATTAAATCCGAAAGAGGTCGGAGATCAGATGGAACTGTACCTGAAGTTTTGAAAGGATCCCGACGCAGGTTTGTCGCAGCGGGTCCATCACCTCCGTGGTTCATCATCGTTCTTGCTCTCGCTTCTTCTTTTTCGCTAGCTCTCACCTCCACATCCTTTCACGCACGACCCGGTGCTCCAGACCTAATTCAGTACCCACCTTTACAATCCTTCCGGCTCCCAAATTTTCTCGTCACGATTCGAAACTCCAGATTGAGAATAAAAATCACTACAGTAAACCAACCAAAACCCCTCTCTCCACAATCCACACCTCCTAGACCTCGCAACCTAGCACGAGATCCTAGAAAACACAAAACAGACTGATCCTTCGGTTCTCCATAAACCCACTAACGCGTAAGAGCGGAGCTGTGAACCAAGATGCTTGCAGAACATGAATCAATGTTCTCGCAGCTAAATCACACTCACAATTGCACCCCTGAAAGGAATCGACGCAGCGGGAGGACGGAGCGAGATCGGTTTCCCCAAGAGCATTCAAGCTCCGCGACAAGTGGTCTACTGGATGAATGAGAGATAAGCCTTCGTGCTTGGGTTTCATGGATGACTTTCGTGGATGAGAAATACATGAGCGTGACCGGCCATGGAGAGAACAAATATGCGGTTTAGGGTCACTAATCAACTTCTAAAATAATTATTTGGATAGATGAATATTTGAAATCGATGTTTCTACAAGTAAAGAATTTAGAAAAATTTGAAATTTTTCAACGTACTTGTTTAATTTAATAGTTTAGGGTGTCTGAGGGTGATGAGAGAAGTCCAAAATAAAGAAGGCCAAGGGATTTTGTAATGTGATTTGATAAATTAATGCACAAGAAAAATAAATGCCAATGGTGCCACCTAGGCTCAGATTAAAGACTATAATTCTTACAAATTGCATCTTTTGCCAAGTGGAAAGTCATTTTAGCTTAAACCCTTCTTCCAAAGTATAGAATTTTTTTTTCAATATCTATGTTTGTTGTCTCTAAGTTTAAAGATAGAGTGAAAAATAAATAAAAAGTGAAATATTTGTCCAAATTTAATCCCTCGCCTTCTCTTGTGTGCATAATAAATCATTGGAAAATATTTATGTCAAGGTCAAGTTTAGAGACATGTCTTCAAAACATACATTTTAAAGAAATCTTAATGACAATGCTAATAGTATATAATAATAATTAAAATAACAATAAAAAATAATAATTTTTTTAAACTTATTTTTTAAAATATATATTTAATTTTTATAGATTTTTAAAAATATTAATAAGTATAGTTAATTTCTCAATATTATATTTTAATTTTGATAACAACCTTTAAGAGAAATCTATATAATTACATGGTACACCAAAGATATACATATATATACAACTATATATAAATATGTAAGTATATGTATTCTATGTATAAGAAGTCTTTTCAATATTTGTGCAATGAGATAAATTTTAATAAATTAACTTCTATTTAATTATATTTTAAATTTAATTAATATAGATATTTCTTATATAATTTAAATAATTTTATAAATAATTTTATTCTTATATAATATCATTGATATTATTTTTATATGATAATATATTTAAGTATTATTTTATAAATTTTAAAAATTTGAAATAAATCATTAATTAAAATATGATTTTTTGGAGGACGTATAATTGATATAAATGTAATTTTAATAAAAACATATTAAAATATGATAGCAATTTGTTTACAACCTTATTAGTCTCTGTAACTTTTTATATTTTATTTATTGCAAATAAAAACACTATCCATGATATAATTTTTTTGTTTATATATACAAATATGTTATATATAAAGGATAAAACGACCCAAATTTTTACTAAAGCGACTTACTCTATCTTGACTATCATTACACCTTTGTAGCTCCCATCCTTGTTCTTAGTTGTTCCCCATTCCTAGCCATTGTTAAGGATGGAGGCAAGAGGTTGAAAGGATACAATGATGGCTTAACACATGTAGATTAATTTAGTAAAAATTTGGGTTGCTTTATCATTTTCCTATACATATATATACATACATATACAACAAACTTTCATATACTTTTATTACTATTTGATGTATAATTAATTTAAGTTTTTGTTTCTATTTTTTGATAATGAACAAATTTTAAATATTCTTATATACTTTATTGATAATAAAAAAATCTTAAATGTTATTATAAAATTATAAAATTATGAAAATTAAACATTTTTATGTAGAAATTTTTTCATTTCTATATGATACAAGTAACAAAAGATATTTTTTGCTAGTTATGTTTATAAATTCACATACTACTAAATATTTTAATTAAAATTTATATTTTTTAAAAAATATTTAAACAAATTAATGAGGTTTAAATTAAAATATATTTCTGATTTGTTTATAGAATTAAAGAATGAAGGAATATTAAATATGACGAACATAGATCTTATTTTTGGAATCAATATATTGATGAATAACTGAAGAATTATAAATAGTTATAAAAATATATGAAAATATTTAAAATAGAATAAGACAATGAAAAAAAAAAAAAAAATTAGAGAGTTTTGAATTAATAAAGGTATTTAAAAAAACACTGAAAATATCAAGAATGGCATTAGCTTTGCCAAAATTTGTATATTATAAAACAAGAATATCATGTAAAAACTTTTGAAAGACCACAAGACTTGCTGGTTAAGCATCAAAATTATTAGTTGCTTCTAAAGTGACTTTCTAAAACTAAAAAATTTTAAAAGAAGTTTTCACACACACACATACATATGTATATTAAAATCAATAAATTTAATTCTTATGTAAGAGCTTCTTTAACATTTTTTAAAGATATTATTTATTTAACTTATTTTGAATTCATTTTGTTTGTAGATATTTTTTAGATATTATTTTTACACTATTTTCTTTTGAAGAATCAATATGAATTTATTTTTAAATTTTTTATGTAATTTTTTATCTTAATATAATATATTTTGTTTTTGATTTAAGGAATTTTATTCTGGATTGATTTTACTTCAATCCACATTTGTGTATGGATTTGTAAGATTTTTAAATGGATTTCATGTACCTTCATTAATAATATTTTATCACAAGTGCAATAGATATTCCAGCTTAGTTTAAAATCACTTTAATTTCAAGACTTTTTCTATTTTAAATTCTAGTCTTTTACTTACTTTAATGTGATGTATTAGTATTTTATTTTGTTTACTTTATATTAATTGTATTATATAGTTTTATGAAAAAAGTATAAAAATTACATTAGAACTTTGTTGATTTTGGTCACTACAATTAATTTACTTAGATTGATGTGTTTTCAAGTAATAATGAATCTAAACTTATGATAATCTAACTTGTTGCAATATTGATAGATCTTGATATTAGGAGAAAGTAACTTTCTCCTAATATCAATTGTAAGTGTAGTGATACAATTATAATGATAGTAAGTAATTTACAAAGAATAATTAAAATAAGTTAGATACTACACTTATAATTGTCATTCAAAATTTTATTTGTTGAGATTCATTTCAAAACATTTTATTTAAATCATGATCCCTTTTAAAAAATAAAAAATAAAAATACAAGAAGAATCAAACAAAATTAGATTGCATCAGTCAGAGAGCGATAGCTCACTTAAACAAGAATGTTGAAGCAAAGAATAAATTTCTAAAATTTTAAGAGAGTTGTAGATGACACCAATATGTGATTACTTGGGAATATAACTACCTTTCTTATTAAAGAATGGGAATCTATTTCCTACCCTATTATTTTCCATGCCTCTTGATTGTGACAAAAACATAACTGCATCTTGTGGAACAAAAGAAGTAGAGAATATTATTATACAGAATTAGAAAGCTGCGCCTTCTATCTCTCACAATGTAACCCTAAATGAACAAGTTTGAACTTGCCTCTAAGACCATACTCTTCCTCATGCTTTGAGGTCATTGTGGCCCAAATTCTCTAGAGAGATTGTGCTACATATTTTTTTAGGGAGAGATTTTCTCTACCCAAATCCCTGATCTGCAGCATATTGGAGGTTTTCCAAAGCTCTTGATTCAAATGACTACACATTAACATCCTGCAACCACGTCGCTCAGATCCCGAGGAGACGAATTCCACCAAATCCATCGTCACATTCCAAGTTCACAGAGAAATTTCTGCTCACACAAGTACGACCACGATCACAGAAAAACCCAGAATTGCACTCAGATTAATAAATAAACATCGCTCCGCTCAAAGTCGATGCATCTGCAACAGCTGAATCCCTTGTCGCATGTGGCTGATGAGAACACGAGATGACGAAGGCAGCATCCAGTGGACGAGACACGGCCACATCGGTTGATGCGACAGCGACCGCTGGTCGGAAAAGGATGGGCCAATATGACAGTCGAACGACCCCAGGGCGTAGTCCCTGTGAGAGTTTTCTGAACGAGTAATATCTTGCCAAGTGGCACACTGTGTTAGGTTACTTCATTTTTGGTTTTTAAGAATGCACTGAATGGATGGACAGAATCAGCGACGGAGTTAAACTCCATTACTTTTGGATGAGAGAGGGACCACATCCAAAGGGGGTGAGGCTTGAGGGCTCACGATAGACTAACTTGAATTCTCTATTCAAACAGCCCCAATTATGTGGGCGAGAAATAGCCAAATGGCAGCTAAAGTTGACGATACCAACGAAATATTAATAAGCTTCAAAACCAACATGGGTGAAGTATTAATCCAACGCTAGGAAATAGTGTGGTAATAAACTCTGGGATGTGTGGGTGAGATCCCGTGATTGGGACAATTCCAACCCATACATCCATCCGCCTCATTCGTTCTACAACAATCCATCCAATGGATGGATGAAGGTATGGGGTTCAACCATGATGGACGAGATCTGCTGTTTTTCGTTGGGCCGAGGCGACGTCGATTTCACGGGAAGGGGGGGGGGGTTCTCCTAGGTTGCCTCAGTCTTAGCCTCGCACGATTTCGCGTGTGTGCGTTGCCGTTGTTTTCTCACTGTTAGGTTCTAAATTAGGCCCTTTGGCCTCGCAATTTTTCTTCTCATTTGTTGCGCAATTCGCGTCTGTCGTTGCGTTGAGGTTCTGATTCGATTCGGTCTTTCCAGTTCCGGGAGTTTGTGTTCCTTTCGGCGGGTCTAGCGTTTCGTGCGTTTTGGGGAATTGGGAGCTTTCTAAATTTGTTACAGTTTGATGTTTTCGGTGTGCCCTTATGCAAGTGGCCGGGCCCTGCGTTGCTGGAAAGCCTCGGTTTGAGAGTGGTTTTGCCAGCTATGGCCTGCCGAGTTTATCTTTTGCTGTTCGGGGTGTCTTCCCGAATCGCGTGAGCTTCTGAAGTTTCGATTGTTCATTCTTGCACAGTTGAGGGCTTATAGAGAATGTATTGTCCTTCTATGTTTCGTTTTTCATGTCGTGATAATGGCCAGGGTTTTCTTAATCTGATTTTTCACAAGATAAATTTCGTCTTTCGAGTTCAATCTCTTTGGCTGGTTGCTGCTCTTGTTTTCCGTTTACCTTTTCACAAGCGCTCTCGTGCATTGTAGTGCTCAGATGCGGATTAGTTCGCCGTCACAGCGTTTGTTGCATTGAATGTAACAGTACTCCAAGTAACTTAACATCTGCCGTGAGCTTCAGTTCATTTTATATCTGCTTTTATCTGCACTTTTTTTTTAGAGTTTTTTCATTTGCGGCTGTTTGGCATTTGTCAAGAGCAAAGAAGGGGAGGATATCATGGTTTGCTGGTACGGAACATCACTTTCATCAACGGCATATCTCTTACAGTTCAAGGGTCGGAAGTCTGTCGAAATTCCGCCTCGAGCAAGCATTGACAGCAGGCCAGCGCTGGAGGGTTCCCTGATTCGTGATAACTACATTGTCGAAGAGGAAGACACTATTGGTGCCTTATAGGCGGGCTACAAGAAGGTATTTAGACATACGTTCCTCGTTTTCTTTCTTTTGTTTGAGATTTTTTTTCTCTTCTTGAACTTCGACGTCGTGGCTTTCATTAGGTCATGTTAAAAATGCGCGCTTATTGATATTATCCGAAAATTATGAACCACTTGTTACAATTTAGCTTAACGGAACGAAGTTTTGTGCGATGTCCTGAAATTGGCCAGAGGTTTTCTTGCGATGTCATGTTAATCACAAAATCCTTGGTTACTATAAAACTAGTTGCTGAATTTTCACGGTTGGGAGAGGTCAGGATGCTGATTAAATTACACGAGCTAAGTTGTCGTCTATCCTTATTTTGTTGTTGACAATTGAGAAGCTCCATGATTTTTGTGATCAAAATGCTCAAGATGTATGTGAAGTGAAGTCTTAAGATTAGGTTCTGGGTCTGGAAGTTTCTGGTCTATCTGATGATGATGGTGACGGTGAAGATGACTGTTCAGTATATTGCCATTTTCTGGTTGCTGTGCAGGTTGATAAATACTCGACTAGGGGAAGATCTCATGAGTGCAACTTTCGATTTTAAGGGTTGCGCATCTTATATTCTAACGTAATGGGGACCTTCGGAGCTTCTCATTATTCCCTAAACTTCTTCATTGATTTTCATCCAAAGCTGCCATCATTTGATGACCCGGTTCATCCAGAAGCAATCTCTTTGACGGATGGTTGGAAGGGTCTTGGGCTAACATATCTTCTGCTCAAAGGGCTGAAAAATGCAAGCAAAACTTTTAAGCTAATCACTGATTCTGCTGAAGGATCTTCAAAGAAGGATGGTTTGGGTACGAGCACGGGCAGCCGTTCTGTCAGGCGAATCCTTTCAGCGAAAAATCCAGTTAGTGCTCGTCTTATTCCAAACAAAAACACGGCTGGCTACGGTTTAGGCAAGCCATCCAGAAGTAAAAGCAAGCTGTCAAGCCACACAAAAGCTTTCAAGAATGACACTTTGGGAGTTTGCAGAGAACAGAAGAATTTAATTGCGGAAGTTGTAGAAGATTTCTCAGAAAGCGCTCTGTACGAGGCTGCTACCCGGTCTTCAGAGGAACTGAGATTCTTAACTGAAAAATCTCTCAGAGAATTTAACTTAGGAGTTGAAGGTGTGATGACCACTATAACGGGGCTATCTCGAAAAGTACACTATAAAAATGAGATGAAAGAAATTATTACTGTTGTCAAAACTGCTGACCGAGTAGTGCAAGGTGTAAAGGCTGCCAATGGATTCCTCCAGACTTTCAGTTCTCCAATCGGTGACTTGCTCGTCCTTGGAGCTGGGGCCAATGGAGTAGTTCTTGGGATGAACACAGTCAAGATTGTACTGAAAGGGGTGAAAATCTCTAAAGGCCTTACTACAGTAACAAAGTTATGCAAAAACAGGAAGACTGGGGCGATTGGGGTGGGTGCGGAAATGGCCATCAAGGCTAATCAGAACATGCTTGGCCAGCGCTTTAAGGTGATTGTGAAAGGCTTGAAAGCTTCTGAAGGGGCTGCTAACGTAGTAAGCATTTCCAAGGAGGTTGGCAAAACTCTAGGTATGTTGGATCAGGCTGAACTATTATCCTGGAATCTTGTCATGAAAGGGTTCAAGTTCACCAAGAGTGCTATCCGAGTCTTGGAACCAGTTGGGAGCCTTCGTTGGGGAGTCATGAGTGTGGCAAGGAAGGGAATACTCGAAGCCAAAGGAGCTGTGGAAGGCGTAGGTGTTGTTGTGAAAGCTGTCGTTCTTTCGCAGGAGCTCTATATGGTGATACTCAAGTGTGTTGGGTTTACAAAAGGCTCCATGGCAGCCTTCGAAGAGTTTAAGCGGAGATCATCGCTTGCCAAGCGTTTATCAGAACAACCACCTGAAGTGAGTAATAGCAGTTCGGAGGACGCCTTCTCTCGTAGGACCGAGATTAGCTTCAAGGACTTGCTCCAGGGTCAGTTCATTACGTCTTCTGCAAACTGGACTTTAACAGAAGCTGAGAGGAAAAGTTCTTCGAGCGACAGGTGGGGGTCTCCTAGCCACTCCTACTCTACCAAGGATATTAGTTTCTACATGACGACACCAGAGTTGCAGCGAAATATTGATACGAATTCCCTTCCACTGTTCATTCTGACACTCGCCAGTTGTCTCAATTTTCAACCTTGCGAAGAGATTCAGCATCAGTCAGGCTAGATTGTACATCCCTGGTAGGTATATTCTAACTCAGTAGTGGACTTTGATGTACGTTTACTTGGAAATGTTCAAGCGAGGTGAGGAGGCATTTAGACGACAATTGACTATGATCAGTTATGGGCCTATGACTTTCACGCTAGGACTGTGCATAGTTTAGAAATTTAAGAAAAACATTCTTTCTCTTTCAAGAGAGCCATTACACATGCACTGACACGATCACGCATGAAATCGAGTACCCTGTTGCGTTGTATGGACCGTTATGCAGTGACGTGTGCTGGTATCAGTCCAGCGTGAAATGAAACTATTACTGTATTCAAATGATTGTTTTTAGCATTGTTGGTGCAAGACCATCATAGAATCTAATTTCTAGCATTCTCTTGAATTGTCTAGGAGAGTTCATGTGCGTGTGTTATGTTTCCATGCTCCTGAATCTTATTTTCGGCGAGGCCCACGTCGGCCACCCTGACTAGTTACCTTCCAGGCGAACCTCTCAACTGTTCGACATGCTTCACAATATCGTTTTGCAGCTTTGAGGTCCCTTGTACAATGAGAAAGTACTTCCTTAGCTTTTGAACTTCATTTCTTCCATTTCATTCAAATTATAGTATATTATTAGTCATTCACGTTTTAATTGTTTTTATTTAATCATATTTCTTCATTTCTCAAGATAAAAGTTTACATTTTTCTGTCATAATATTGGATTTTGTATCACAAAGATTATCTTTTGTGTGGATACCACACCAAGTTTTTATGTCAAAAATATTTGCATTGAATTGAGTCTATATTGTTCACAAACATATCTTTTTGAGTAAGGACTACAACACTTCAGTCTTTTGTATATTGGATATTTTTAGAAATGATAGTTTATTGCAATGTACTTGTTACTTTACTTTAGAATTCATACTTTTGTAGTTTAAGATTAATTTATTTAGGAGAAATGTTATCCAACACCAGATATTTTTAACATAATTCTACTTCTAGAATTTAGAATTAGATATTTGTTTGAAGTAGGAAATGACATAATTAAAATGTTCCACAATTTTGTTGTTTATATGAATTTTCTGGGTGTTAACAACTATGTCATGGTGTACAGAAGCTATCTTAACATTTCCTCCTTTTTGCAATATGCAATATTAATTCAATCCTGATTTTCTATTAATAACAAAGCATACCAAACCAAAGGTCTTTCAATGTACTATACGATAATTTACATAAAATAGGACTCAAATAATAGAGAGAATTGGAAATTAATGGTGTGAGTTGGAAGGAAGGCTGCCGAGGAAGTAAGCTAAGTGGTCTGGGCATGGTTCACCTATTCTTTGAAAGCCCATCCGCCCTATCACAAACATGAAGGATTCTCTAGTGTTTAATGGAGCAATTGTGCAAACTGTCTACAATTCAGCCAATGAAGTTGGTGCATCATGGCTAGACATACAGCAAAATGAAGTTCCCGCAAGAACGCCAAATCTTTGCTTCTCCACGTAGTGCAACGAGGTCTTTGATGAATCCAGTGAAGAGATTTGTGGTTGCCAAGAGTTGCCAACAAAAGCTCACGTTGAAGGTTGAGAAACTCTTGGGTGCATCAAATCCCACTTTTTGCAGAAGTACGCTTTTTGATAATGAACCATCACCATTTCCACCGAACCGACGTTTCGATGATCTTCAAGTCATACCTTGCTCAAGAATACCTTGCCCTTGTTTCAAGCTGAGAGCGTCAAAACTGCAGGGTTAGATAAATGATGTATACATGGGCGAAAACCCTGGTAGTCAACTCATTTGAATCCGGAATCTACAGTCTGTGTGTTGGTTAGAATCTCGGGTACTATTGCCATCCTTTTCATGCCCAACTTGATGACCTCCAATCGTTGGACCTTGCGGTGTCGACAGCAACGTACTCCAAGATGGTTTGATGTTTAGATGGAAAAGGTGGTTCGTGGTAAAGAAAGGGGAGCCCACACAATTTTGCGATTAATGCAAGACAATTCACTGTTGGCGTAATGTCACATGCGAGTGACAATGCGGTGCCAAGCCAAAGTAGAAATCCCTAGAGCAAAACGATCACAAACGCATATCTACGACATCCAATTCTCATGTTGAAGGCAATAAGAATTCTATTGCAGATGGTAATCCTGAACTTGACCGTGAGACTATAATTACAGCATTCTTTCTTGCTGGAAACTCAAGATCTAGGAGAAGATAACGTAAAAACAGTGGTCGTAGGATTCTAATGAGGTCGTTGCTCCAAGTTGCTGGTGGGAACTACACTTGGTTACTCTGAAAAAACCGATTGACATGATCAATGAATGAGCCGTTACAAAAAACAGAAAAAAAGAATCACGAACACAAACAAACAAACAAATTTGATTCTAGTACAGGTCAGTGTGGATATATTACTTCAACCCAGTATGGACTTGTCACAAGCTTGATCTCAACGACTGTAACTGCCAGCAATCAGTGAACTGTTCTTTCTCAAAAGGTGGAAAACGCAGGACAACTGGCTTCAGAAGTGAGAGAGTCGTGACTGTGTTGCCTTTGTGGTAAGGAGTAAAATCCTCAGCAGCATATGAGGAAGGAAATCATTAGGTAGTAGGCTTAAGAATGTAGTGGAAGCAGCTTTGCTAATGACAACGCCTTATCTAAGGTATCTGATCCATTGTTGACCACCTCCTATTTCCAATATATAGGCCTACCTAATTTCGTTAGTTGGGCAACTAAGTTTGACATTTTATTGATCAGAAATAGGTAGGGGGCTGGTTAGAATGATGTTAAGTTGTGAGCAATAAATAAAATTCATTGTACTTGGAATGGATATGCAAGAATCATCAATAGATAGCAGTTGTTGATTGATTGGGGTGGAATAATAGTATAATTAGGTACCACACTCTTCTTGATAGCATTCATAGGTGCCAAACATCATGGTTTTGTAAAAGTTAGATTTTTGGTTTTGTAATCCACCATCAACTAGAATTAAGTAGGCTTGTATGTCCAAAATGGATCAAAGAGAATCTTTAGTTGAAACATTTATATAACTTTTTTTTGGGCCAAATTGTGTAGAAACACTTGGAATCCTTTTGATTTCTATTTCTTTATATGGGAGTATTTTTATCCATTTTTATACCTACTGGATGTATGCTAAAATACTTAAGTTATCAAAAATGAATCATATACCTTATTGGTTTTATAGAAGTTACAACTTTATATACAATAATTCTACTTTTCACTTATGGATAAAACTTTTCAATGTTTAAGATTCTTCTACTAGAGAACCACATTTTGGCTCTGTTTTTGGAAGGATCAGAGTAAGTGCAAATATTTTTAGATTCAATGTAATAGTACTACTCCCCAGTTGCTCATTTGAATATTTCTATGTAACAAGTAAAGATAAGAATAAATTACTTGAGATGTAAATAAGCCTTCTAATTGGTTGAGAAATTACTTTTATTTATTTATTTGAGATGAGGCTTCTATAGAATTGGACATGAGATCACAATACTTCACATAGAATTTATATGTAGACAATACTTTTAAGAGGAGTTTACTTGAAAAATATTACAATTTGAAGGTCAATTTTTGCACATCCATCTTCACAAAAGCAACTTAAATATTATACTATCTATTATATTATATTCAAACATATCCATAGTTGTTTAATCTTTTCTTCACTTGATTGTTTTACTATCTTGCTTTGATTTAGATGTATAAATCTCAAAGCCACATGATTTTTCTTCTATAGAATTATTTAAGTTTGTAGATTATTGCAATTTTAAAGATATCAATTTTATTAATCTTACTAACATCAACTATTCTTGTTGTTATTACATGATTTTATAAATTACATGAGATTCATAAATATGATTTTTTTATCATAATATTATTCTATTATGTAAATAATTATAATCCAATATATATTAGTTATATATATATATATATATATATATATGCTAATATATCCATTCAAAACTTATAATTGTATAGATGCTTATTAGAATTTCTAATCTCAATTAATAAGTTTGTTTTACTTATTTATTTATTTTATATTATTTTTTACTAAGATTTTTTGAATTCTATAAGATCTTTAAATAAATAAAGAATTAATAAATAGCATAATTTATTGGTTTTGATTAAAGTTGATATTATATTATATTATATTACAAAAGTAATGGATTGAATTTCTTTTCACTACCTAAGTCTAACAATACATCAAAAGTACAAAAGCTTTTCATACCAATTTTAAGCATGTAAATTTTATCAAATTCCATATGTTATATTGTAGTAAAATCACTATAATAAGTAAGTTTATATTCTTGCTTTAAAATTTAAATCACTATTATATCTTTATATTAAAAAATAAAAAATATGTATGTTAAATTGATCTTAAAATATAAACTATTTCTTTGAAGAAAAATAATTTGAAAGTTTTAGTAAATATAAAATTTATTCTATAATAAAATTTTATTAATTTAATATATACTTTAGAAATTAAAAATATCATTCTTATAAGCTAATTTTTTAATTTAAATTGTTGTTTAGACATAAAAATCTTATATGTGTAATCTATTGATTTTAATATCTAAATATAAACTATTCAAGAAATAATATAGAAAGAAGCATGAGTATAAGTAAGACCATCATATAGCCCATTCAAGATAAAATCTTATTTCTAACATTCATTATTTATAGCTAGGAGATATAATACAGAGTAACTTGCAATTAATTCTTACAAGATCCTATCTTCATTATTCTATTATCTTGTGATTGGTCCTTGTAAGATAATTTTTATTAAGTATTTTTTATTTATTTTAAATTTATTTTATTAATTTTTAAAATCCACTAATTATATTTATTATAAAAAATTATAAACTTTGTAACTTCAAAAAGTTGATACTTCTTTTTACTACACAATCCTAAGTTATTATATTATTCATTTGATTTATCTATTTTTATATTTTGATAACTAAAAACTTACTATAGTAAAAAATAGATATTAATAAAATAATATTTATTATTTAATCCTATTTATTTATAATAGTATATTCAAATATCATTTATAAAATACAAAATTTTTGATTTACTCTATTTTAGTTTATTTCACTAAATTAGATTTAAAATATAAAATATATTTTATAACTTTATTTATTTATAATTATAAATATAGAATAAATTTTCATCAAGTGTATGAAGTAGAAAAAAATATTAATTAAGTTTTTAGTTTATAATCAAAGGTAGAAGCTTTAAAGACCAAATTCTATTATTAAATATAATAATTAATTTATTTTTGAATAATTCTAGCTAAGAATTTAACTTATACATATATATATATATATATATATATATATATATATATATTTTAAGAAGATTTAAAGGAAACTAAAAATAATAATTTATAAGCTTACTTTAATACTTATGTAACATTTAGAAATCAAATGAGAAGTTGTTTAATTAGTTTTTTTCTACGAACCAAGTTTAGCTAATATTTTTATAGGTTCAAACACATAGAAGAAAATTAGACTCAAGCATGTAAATTATAGATTGTTACCATGATAGTTTCTTTACTTTAATAAAAGCTTGTAATTTTTTTTTTTTTAGCATATGACATACTTAGGATTATTTAACAATTAGATTTATGTCTAGAAATCTTCTTTAATCTTTTGTAAAGAAGATATTACCTATCTAACATGATTCTATCTACTTCTATTTATTTCTATTCTTTTAGGTTTAGGAATATATACATAATAAATAAACTATTATAGGTTTAGTAAAAAAAAATAAAAAAAAAATTGTATGACCTTCAGAGCATATTTTGAAAAAAAACCACAATTCCAATTTACATCCTTGAGTGTATAATATTTAAATTAAAAAAATCCATAAACAATTAAGATCTTTTTAAATATTTTTTTAGTTTTAAAATTAATTTTCTTATAATATTTAAAGTACAAATGTATTTCCAACAAGAAATGTGGCAAGGTTTAGACTTGTGATAATTTTTTAAAATTTCAAGATGACTAAATTAAACAACCCAACATAACCAACTATTAATATTATTTTTTAACTATATATTAGTATAGTTTTTAAACAAAGGTAGGAACAATCATTTGGAACCACCTTGGAAAATATAGCAAAACATGGAAACATAAAATCCTCACATTAATATTTAAAAACCCTTAGACAGACCATAAACACTTCAAGAATTTTCCTAAAACATTTCTTAGATGAAATAAGACAGGAACATGCAGTGCAAGGAAGTTTACATGGTAAAAACATCCTCCCCTCTTAAGCACCATATCTCTTATTTCAATCTAGACTCTCAAAACACAATCTCCAGACACTTCGTCAAGAGCAATTTATTTATAAAATTCTCAGCTACTGTCATTTGTGTCAGAACATTGCCTGATTTTGGGCACATCGAAGTCAATAACCAAAGGCAGTTACCGAAGCAACCCGGTGGAGGTGGACATCAGATGTCGTCTTTTATTGCAGTTATCATAGGTTTGCATAGAATAGTTTACGTGACGTCGCGAGGGGGTCTATATCTTGAGGATGCTCGGTTTCATGCGGGCTGCCAGATGCCCTGGCACCGTGATTGAAGTGGCGTATCCCCAGATCACACTCTCCTACAGTGCTGGCCGGTCTGTGGGGCCCAACTGATTCGTCTTCAGTTGCAGCGCGCTCTATCATGGTCAATTTTTCGGTTTATATTTGATGTATTTCGTATTTAGGAAACATGCCGAAGTTTACCTCTGTGCTATTACGGGTGAAAACTGCAGGATGACTTGGCTGACTGTTACGGCAGCTGACTGAAGAGCCAGCGAACGCCGACTTTGAGTAAACAGTGAGTCCGGAAACGGGTTGCAAGAATGCATGGAACCAGCCTTAGTTCCCTGAAGAGCCGAACTTGACTCGGCAGTTTTGCGCATCGAACTCGACTGAATTCACTCACAAACTGCCGGGGATCCTCTTTTTTTGGCACGTGCATCACTCGTCCGGTGTATGAATGGAAATTCCAGGAGATGCCGGGTTCAGGATTAGTAGACAACATGAATGATGCTGTGATGGCCCAATAAAAGTGCGTGCGTGGAGACGCAGAATGGGATCTGCATGTAAGGGGACTAATACTTAAGCTCGCCAGCTTCCTTGAGTGATTCGAGCATTCCAACTCCACGAGGACAGAGGCTTTCTCCAGCCACTGATCTTCGCCCCTCATCGCCGTTGCTGTTCTCACAGCATTGAACATCTGACACCATGACCAAAACGGATTTGTTTATCGCCGTTCTTCTGATGGTATCAACGCTGCACTTGGCTGAAGCAACACGGTCCTTGGGGATCTTAACTCGTGTTACAAAGAACACGGCAACAGATGTAGAAAGCTGCTCTCTGAATCTAATTGTCCGCAACCTAGCTCAGGGAAGCATGGACTTCCGGCTGTTAAACCAGGATCAGATTCGTTCTGGACAAGGGGCTGTTGCACATGCACACACAGGGCAGGAAATCGCCATGGGTCCTATAGATGTGAGTACTAGGTCGCCGAGGGTGGTCCTGGCGGTGACAGTGAAGACAGATACGATGCGGCGTCCGATGCGGAAGTTGTTGGAGATCGACTTATTGAATCACTTCAAGCACGGGAACCTGAAGAGCTTGAAGCAGCTGGTGCTCACAGCGGTGGAAAGCTGGAGATTGAAGTCTGGCAAGTATCTAGTTATCCAAAATGGAAATGGGAAGGTGCTGCTTTCGTTCAAAATCTAGGACAGGAACTCAACGTTGAGGTATGATTCTTTCATTGGCCCCTCTTCCTGCTTAGAATGTTTAGGATTCGGTAATGTAGTAGCACTGATTGGGTAGCGAACATTGGTCTGTTTCAAATCTCCCTGTCGGTGACATGCTTCGGCACAACCATGCAGAACCAATCACACATCCGTCTGCCTTGTGCTGCAGAATCTCTCCCGCTGTTTAGCTCAGCTTCTGCGATCGGTTTGATACAAACACGGAATTGCGCCGGCAATCGGGTGACTCACGCACTCTGCATTGTTGAAAAATTGAACTAGTCAACTTTTCCCTTAAAAGCTGTCTCAGCGGACGACGACTAACGACGCCGCATGCTTGCTCCGAAGTCAAGCTACTTAGCTTCTAGATCATCGACAAACTACCACATTTCTTCACAAGTGATCTGTATATTAGAATCTATACCTCACCTGTATTGCAAATTGACAACATGAGCATTCATTAATGCCGATTTCTACCACATTCTGAGTACTTTTCCGGATTGTAAATGTACTCAACCAAGTGTATCTGGTTCCCATGAAGAGATTTCTTTATTTTTTTTTCTTTTGTTTCATTGATCACCACCTTTCTGTGAGTTTCTCTTTGAATTCGATATGAAATGAATTTTCGACTCACATTACTATTTTATTATATTACATTAAGCTTTGTGCTGCGTCTGCACATCTGTACACGTCTGCACGATTATTCTTTTAATACATTTTGAACTTAAATACTGTAGGTGTGTGTTTTGAATAACAAGCTTTGTTTAATGGCGTAGCATAAATTGCAGATGACATGTTTTCTTTTCCTAGAGATATGAAAGTAACAGTGGTTGCCATTTTTTCTTTCTTAAATATCTTGGTTGTATGGAAATGATTTGTAAGAGATGGTCAATATAATGATTCTACTCTAACCAAAGGACATTTAGAACAATCGGTTATGTAGAACACTGAACAATGAAAATAACGTATAATATTTGGCTCCTGAGTGTTACTTTAATCAATTAATATTATTTAATTAATAATGTTTTTTTTGAAAATAACATTTAACTTTGAATAATTTCAATAAATACAAGATAAGTCTATTTCCCAAGCATTAATTTAATATGTGATATAATTTTTTTTATTGCTAGAGTATGCTAAAATTAAAAAATAATTAAATAAAAATATTAAGATATAGTAAACCGATACATTGAATAATTTTGGAGAGTTCAAAAAAAAGAATAAATTGCTATATTTTAAGATACTATTTTCAACTCTAATCATGATACTAGTTTCTTTTTAAAGAATAAGTTTTTATAACATTATGTAAGTAGAACTTTGCAAATAATCTGCTCACATACTGCTTTAATGATAGCAAATTGAAAAAGTGCAAAACTAATTTTACTTATTTTGTAGGTCTGCAAATATTTTATTTTATTTTATTTCACTCTTTTATAAAAAAAAGTAACAAAAATAATAGCAATTCTTATAATGATTTGATTTATATCATCAAAATAATCATTTATATTTGTATATATTATATTTATTTATTTATTTATTTATTTAGGATGTATCTAGCATATACACACATATTAAATGTATATATATGTTATATTTATGTATTAGTTGAATCAATGTTGTTACCAAAAATTGAATCTTGAATATGTTGTAAGCTAATTGATTATTTATTGTTGATAAAAATCATTTAATGGACTAAATAATATTATTTTAAACTAAACTTGTCTATGAGTGGATTATATAAACTATTGTTGGCTTCTTAAGTAGTTTTATCTCTCCTCTCCCTCTTCTTTAGTAAGCTTCTCTAATATTAATCATATACAAGTGGATAGATAGATCAACATTTTGTGCAATGAAGTTGGAGATGAAGAGGTTGTTTATAGAATGAGCAATAATGAACTGGAATTGATTTGGCCTTTTTTAGTCTTTGAAATTCAATTTTTTTTTATCTTCTTTGCATTTGTGTTGACTCTTAACTTCTTAAGAAGTTAGCAAGTTCATGGAAAATGCAAATAATTGATTCAATACTATGAGCATCTAATAGACATTCTATAAATGTTTGGTTTTGTATGAATTGAAGACTTATGATCCCTTTGTCATCTGTTTCGACCTTGAATCCTTAAACTTGGCCATGTTTTCTTTGTTTCAATATCCACCTTGAAATGTAAATAGATGTAATAAGATATCTTCTATCTCATATCTTTATATGTATCTAATACATTCTTGCTCCTCCCAACATCATCAACAATCACTGTCAAACCTATGCTTAATGAACAAAAACTAAGAAGACAAAGTACTTCCAATATTGTACTATAAAATCTCTATAGAAAATCATCCACTTAATAATTACATATGATTATATACTACTATGTCTATTCTAAAAAAAAAAAATTGAATTATATAAAATATTTTGTGGCCAATGGCACAAGTTCTATTAAGACTCTATATACTCTAATTTTGCTTTATTTTTGATATTTTTGATGAAAACACTTTTGAAAAAAACAATAAGATATGCAACCAATTAGAGAAGATTTTTGTCTCTTCTTGTTTATTTGTCAAAGACATGAACTAAAAGATGATGCATAAACTAATGAAATCCGTATCAAAGAAAGAGTGACAAAATAGAAATAAAGAAGTACATATATTTAAAAAAAACTGGAATAGCTTATTGCCAAAAGACAAGAAAACTTGAGACTCTTCAAACTAGACTAGAAGCACGAAAGGAGTTAACAAGAGTAAAGAGGGCTTTATTCTTGTCTCTATATATACTATCTAATTAGGAGCTACATGGCAATGTTCTATAGGACATGCAATATGTGTTGACTTTGTAGGATACATGCCTTGACTTATAAGGCAAGTTTTTTTACAAGTGGGCTACATAGTTAGCTTGGTCTTCAAGCTAACAATATGTGGCACATAGCCAACTTGTTGACCTCTTTTCTAATCCAAAAAGTCAATTATAGACACCTATAAAGTCAAAGTAATATGTATGAAGCTTTTATAGAAGATATTATAGAATCAACTTATTTTTACCTACTTCTATTTACTTCTATTTATTTATACATGTAATTATTGGCTTACACGTATATATCCATGATATTACTCCCCTCTTTTAGGAACAAATTCTATAAAGAGAAGTCATCATATATTGAGAAAATTCATGATGCGATGAATTATATTTGCCACATATTTAGATCTTTGTTCTCTTTGAAGATGGTTGATAGGGCCTCTCAACCATCAATAGTGTTCCATATCAGAGCGAGAAGATCATCCTATTATTTAATCATTGTTGAGGCCTTCATAACTTCTTTCAAATAAAACATTTGAAACACCGTCACGAGTTGTATCTACTTCTAATAAAATTATCAAACATCGAGAGTCTCTTCTAAGATTATGATACCAAATGTATTATATTTCACCATCTATTTGAAGAAAAACATGTTATTCTTGAGGATCTTCATCTCGATTGAGTCATCTTAAAGATTGTCACAATTGCAATGTCTCATCTTGCGGGTCAGTAAATGAAGGCTTTTCAGTCAAATCCATTGGTTGTTGGTTTTACATCTTTTTAGCATCACAACTACAAAAAAGCTACAAACAAGGATTGAAAGTAGAATGTTATCTTGCCTAGATCTTATTTCTTTAAAAGAGAAGGTCTTTATCTTGATTTTGATGGATGTTATCGATGAAAAGCCTCCACCGTCTTTGTTGCATTTACAAGATACTTTATTGGCTTCCATGTGCATTCACTAATATTATATCCGTGCCAATAGATAAGATATTCTAATTTATTTTGGCATCGCCTTCAATTTAAGACTTCTTCCACTTTGAACTCTTCATTATTGTCTACTTCTATAAGAGGAGGTGGATCTTGTCTTCTTCTTGATATGTCCATTGTCTTGTATGGTTTAAGAAGAAACATGTGGAATACTGGATGGATTTTCATTGATTTTGGTAGGTAAAAATGATATGCAATTGGATTGATTTGTGTAGAAATAGGAAATAATTTAAGCCTAGGATAGTCTAACTTGTCACAATGACAAGTCGTCTTGATATTACGACAAAGTAATCATACCTTATTACCTACGTGAAGTAGTAGTTATTCTTTTTGATAGACATCCACATTGATCTTTTATTGTTCTTGAGCTTTTTTTAACTGTGCCTTCATTGTTGCATGTAGCTCTGAAAAATGATTTACCAAATCTTCTGCTATAGGATTATCAGTTTTTGAAAAGTCAAAAGTATCAAGTCATGGATAATAACCATAATTGGCAAAGAAAGGTGTTTGTTTTATAGAAGAATATATCATATTATTATAAGCAAACTCTACCAATGATAAAAAAGTTGTCCAATCATGTTGTTGGTAGTTGATGGTATATCTTAAATACTACTTCAAAACTTGATTAATATGCTCCATTTGTCCATCAACTTGAGGATGGAATGCCAAAGATAGTTTAAATAATATTTTTAGAATCTTGAAAAGAGTCTACCAAAATCTTGATACAAACTGAATTCTCCTATCTAATATAATATCCTTGAATAATCCATGATAGGAATAGATGTTGTCAAGAAAGAGCTTAGTTGTTTCTTCACCTATGATACATTTTGTACATGGTACAAAATATTTCATCTTGATAAAACGATCTACTATCATGAATATAGAGTTATAAGAACTTGAGATTGAAAGATCCATGATAAAATCTATAGAAACAGAAGACCATGGTTATTCTAGAATAGGTAATGGTTGAAGAAGTCCATAAGGTCGATGACAAGGAATTTCTGATCTTGAACAAATGTTGCATGATTGAACAAATTCTTTCATACCCTTTCACTTTTGTGGCCACCAAAAATTTCTAGATATAAGCTCCAAAGTCTTGTTATATCCAAAATGTCATGTTATTGGAAAGTTGTGACGTGCTTGAAGAACACATAATCGTGCTTATCTTTTTAGAACATATAATCAATCTTCAAAATAGAGTAGGTTATTTTTGAATCCAAACTTAAAAATATCTTAGAACTTAGAAGAAGGATTCTTGATATTAAAAATAAGAATATCAAAAGACATACTTGATTGAATTTGTTTTATAAGCGTCGAATCAACAGTCAATGTTGATTTCATTAGTCAAAGATGAAAAATACTCTAGCTTCAAGCAAATTATTCTTTTTTAATTAAAAAATATATCTTCTTATTTTGGTATAAGATAAGAACGTCTAGAAAGGACGTATAATAAACCTTGTTGTTTTTCAGGTCGATATGTGAATTTAAAATCAAATCTTGATAAAGACATGCTTCAATGGACTTGGTGATTATTTTAATATATGTGCTGATATGAAGTACTCGAAATTCTTAATAATCCATATATATAGTGGCTGAATTAGAATTACCTTCTAGATGATGATGCCATTCTTGAAATAAATCCATAAGTGTAAGAAGCTCTTTGTCATGAATTTCATAGTTAATCTCGGCTACTAAAATTTTTTT